CTACCCGCGAACACAAAAGAACCAAGGAAATAAAAAACGTAGACAGGGAACAACGAAAATTAGAAAAACAAAAATTGGCCGAGCAATGGAAAAGGGAGAAGTTGGCAGCACGCGAGCAAGAGAAACAAGAGAAGTTGAAAAGAGAAAAATTAAAACGTGAAACACGGCAGAGGCAGCAAACACAAGAAAAACCACCAAAGAAAGAGAAGAGAAAAGCGCCCGATCCCCAGCCACAAGTTACTCCTTTATCTCAAACGCCGGTACAATACTCTAGTAATACTCTAGAAAGTTCCATAAGTCGCAGTAGCGGTCCACCGCCGTACTCTAAGACTCTAGAGATTATACCAAACCAAAATGACAATACCGGTAACACGAGCTTCGGAAAATCAGTGGACGGTCCAAGCAGTTGGGACCTGGTTTCTCAACACAGGCAGCAACTAAATAGGCCTGTAGCTGTGTCTAGCAAAAAGGTGAAAAGCACGGTTCTTGATTTAGGTTACAACGTTAGTAATATGCGAAATTCAAGCGAGGGTAAATATAACAGCGAAGCATAGTAGATTTAAGGATGTAAATTTAGTGAGTAAAAATATATCTAGTCTTTTCTAATCAACATATTTATTAAGGTGATTTCCATTTGTAAAGGACTACAGCTAACGTAATAGTAAGAACAGTGATTAACGGTAACTAAGATGGAGGTCTTGTGTTCTGTAACTCAGGTTTTAATTACCTACTGCAGACGCTAGTGATCCACAACCATTTTTGTTATAATAGTTATTAAGTTTACTGTTAAGACATTTTTGTGATTTTGTGATGAGAAATAAATACATTTTCATTTTTCAGTTTCAACTATAATTATTTTTCAATACTAGCAATACGAACTAGCTTCGGACGAGTGATTTCTGGATCTCGACAACAGCGCTACCTACCGGTTCCAATTGTGAATCTAAAGTTTAGATTCGTGTGTGAGTGGTCTAGATTGAACGGTTTAGATTCTATACCATTCAATCTAAACTACTCAAACCACACAAATAAATGTCATTAGCCTTCCCCTAAGGAATTCCACAATGCACGATCCCAATCCATCTGCATCTATCGACTGCCTACATGTCTTATCCGTTCGTCACTTCATCTAGTGGTGAGCCACACTACACTTCGCCTACCGGTACCAGGCTGTCACTCGAGATCCTTTCTTCACCATCGGTTGTCGGTTCTTCGAGCTATATGGCCGACCAGTTGCCACTTCAACTTACTAATCCCTTGAGCTCTGTCGGTTACTCTGGTTCTACCGGATATCCGGATTTTCGAAATAACGACAGTATCCTTGGCATTGCTGAAGGGACTGTAACACTGCCCAAATTTTGACGAAATCAAAGGCTTTCTCATAAACCACATACGCAAGACAAAGTGGCAGATTGTACTCCCCGGACTTCATTAGACGTGACTTCTTCAACTTAACGTTTAGATTCAGTGTGCCTCTCACCATTCGGTGATCGCTGCCATTTTTCACCTTCACGATCATTGAACAATTGTCGTGTAGTCGTCATAATTAAGAGGATTGTGAAGTGCCGATACACGACGCGAGTAGGTATTTTCAAAAATGCTATCTGTTTCATAACGCACGCTCTACCTCCCGCCGGGCTCCGGGCGTGAACAACACAAATACAACATATTACACTAATTTTCACGCACACTACGATACCAGCAGCAGGAGCGTTCATTCATTCATAGCCTATATTTGCGTACATAATATACGACAAGTTACATAATGAACTTGTTTGTGCTACTTTGCAATTTTATTATATTGCATAGTCTATGTAGACGTGGGGACTTACTACATATACCTTATATAAGTGGGCTGTTATTTTTTTATGTAAGTATCTACCTATATACTATGTGAGTGATTATGAGATGAGTATTACATTCATTCAACTAAATTAATTTTAGAATAGAAGGACGGGCAACTAACTTCTAAAATCAAAGGCTCTGTGCGCAACAGGTAAGTAGGCTTAGGTACTTATAATACTATTATTTACTTATAATAAATTATACTTACTTTGATCGCGTACCTTACCACCTTACATACTATTGTATGTACATTGGTTGACTGGTAGGAGATAGACCGAAATTTATTCCACAAAAATATAAAAGTATGGGATAGCTGATGTTGATTTGACTTCAAAAACGGAGGGGGTTCTATATTCTGCTGTATGTATATTTGTTTTATTTTTATGTATGTTCACCGATTTCTCCGGACCGATTTTGAATAGGTAATTCTTTTCTTGTTCACAGTTGGTCTCACACAATTTTTTTGGAAATCATTTCAACCATTACATATATTATGATGTAATTGAGTTTTATTAAAATCGGTAGTACAAAATTTTTAATTTTACCACTTGTCCAGTAATAATATTAGTCCGTTAGAAGAAGTTGTTCGTATCACTGTTACTGTGGAATTCCGATGATTCCAAGGAAAATGCTAAAATTTTCGAGATACAAAGATTTGATTAGTAAAATTTTTATACGTGGTAGAGCAATGCTGCAGCTATATTAGTAGTATAGTTGTAGCACGAGTGGGTCGGCTCGACCGGGGAACGACTACGCTCTTACAGAAATTTAAACGATGAACCGAATTATATAGGTAAACTAGCTTTTCACCCAAGACTTCGCCCGCGTTAGTTAGCCATAAAATATAATTTAACCTATTATGCTTCTATTTATTTTTCAGTGACTCCGAGATAGACAAATAATTACCAGACAGTAATGTGCAAGGACGATGTACTTCAGTTGGCGAAGGAATCGAATCTGACAAAGAGAATCAAAAAGAATACAATAATAATAAGTCATGTAAATATATATATATATATATATATATATATATATATATATCATCATCATCATTACAGCCCTTCACAAGTCCACTGCTGAACATAGGCCTCCCCCAAAGAATGCCACAAAGCACGGTCCTGAGCCACCTGCATCTTATATATATATATATATATATATATATATATATATATATATATATAAGAATTGTAGAAATAAATAATTTAGCAAATAAAAAAAATATTTCGATTGCAATTTCATTAATTTAACATTTTGCAAAGAATCAAGATTAGGAAACATAATCTAAAAGTTTGGGAGTGTGGACTGTTTATTGATTCCGAAGATTATTTAGGGACAACTTCCGATGGGCTTGTTGGAGATGATTCTCTAAATGAAAATGTCTTATTTCTGATTCTAATATGCTACATTTGGAGGCCATAACTAAAAACAGATCAAATTTTGTTTTATACGAGAAGGACAAAAAGGAAAAAGAAACCATGAGTACTATTATCAAGTCCAGGGATAATTACATATCACTGGTAGGCGATTTTGTTTTTTCGTAGTATGGACACAACTTTTTCATGTTTTCGTACTTAATTTAATAAATGTGGTTCGGCGTAGGAAAAAAATAAATACTATGATCACTTTTGGGCAGCAGAAATGCAGCCAAGACTTTACTCATTTCATTTTTAATGTTTATTACCAGAAATGATTGACCCTCGAGTTCCTAGAGAAATGGCAGTTCGAGAAAGAGTGTAATTAAGTAATATGTAATAATAAACAATAATAATTTCTTCAGGTTGTTGCTTCTTATTTATTTGCCTACCTACCTACTTTATTGTAAACTCGAAATATTTTTAATTTAATGTCCTTATTCAATAAAGACTAAATTAATAAGTAAATAATCGATAAACACTGAATAATCACAGACATTAACTTTTTCATGAGAGGTATTATCTTTCTAGGTTATCGATATTATTTTCTCCTCCCTAGGCGATAATAATATCGATAACACCTCTAAAAGTTACAGCCTATATACACGTCCCACAGCTGGGCACAGGCCTCCTCTCATTTCTGAGAGGGTTTTAGGGCAAGGAAAGGTCCACCGCGCTGCCCCAATGCGTGTTGGCAAACTCCACATGTTTTGGTTAATATATTTTTTTTCTTATTTGTCAGACATACAGGTTCCCTCACGATGGTTTCCTTCACCGCCGAGCACGTGGTAAATCGGCACTTAAAATTGCTATTAACAATTTTATTGGTGCCGGCGGGGATCGAACCCGGGTTTCTCGCGTACCTACTGTGAAACTTATAGCGAGCGCTAACCATCTGAGCTACCATGGCTCCAACACCCCTAAAATCACTACAATATGCCCCTGCCCCCCGACTCGTATCGTGCGATAGAGAGAGTTGCCAGTCTTGAAGGCAATTGTCTACATTTTCTTTTTGAAATATTGTTTCCGGCGATAACGTTTTTACCCCCCTAAAACTTTACAAAATAAGACAATTTTGGTCTTATTAGATTTAGTACACTTTAATTTAGGCCTGTACGTTTTACTTTTTTAGTAATCAGTTTATTAAATTAAAAAAAAAAAACGCTCGAGGAAGTTTTTAAGTCAAAAATATAGATATTTAGATGCTAATAACTTATATTGTATACAATATTTCTTTAAAATAAAAACGTACGGGCCTAGTTTTTTGTCATATCTACAACATTTCCAAAAATTATTAAAATTGGACTTATATTTACGGGGGGAAAACGTTATCGAATTTTGTATGAAAATTTACAGCTTCACAATCCTCTTAAGTCAATCTCATTTTTGTCAAACCATTCAAACCACGTCAAACCATTGGGGCTCGACCAGATCCACTTCTGGAAGGAAGTATTCATCATAAAGAGTCCCTCATTCTCCATGAAATCGAGTACACTTATTGCTCGCTTAAACACAAACTCCCTTATACACTCATATCCATATTGCTCGAATACACTTACTCTCCAGACTTATTTGACAATTGCATGTACCCACCGTATACCAGCAGCGATTAGTGGCCAGAATTATTTGGAAAAGAAATACACACACAACTCATCACTAACTTTAACAAGTTAATTTGATAGCTAAATTAGACAATCGTCAAAACCTAAAACGGAAAAATGTAGGTATTCGAAAATTTCTTACCTATGCACCTTTGCCAGCGGGAAGTGTAGGCAGATCTTCTGGTAGAGTTCGGTAAAGTGCTTGTAGGAGCGGTACAGCACGAAAGGCGTGGCCTGGCCCAGCCGGTACACGCGGAGCGCGTACACGTAGTGCTTCTCGGGGTCGTAGCGTTTCTCGTAGCTGAGGCACTCTACGCGCACGAGGCGACCTTCTTGCGCCATACTACGAATTACAAAATTATATTCGTCATCGTTACAGCTTATCGAAAGTCTATGGGGCGGATATTTGCCCTAATTGCCCTGCTTGGCAGGCGAATTTGCAACCGCAGTATTTTATTAAGTTATGTATATATTAAGTTGTTATTAGGAAGTAGTAAACAGATGGGCAGACCCATCTGTTTTATTTTCCTCTGCCGTTTCTTCCGACACCCACGAGATGATGTGGGGTGGTAAATATTCTTACACCATTAATACACGAGTATAAAAAAATTAAATGGCTTTAGCTTTTAAAATAATGTACTTCTTACGTGGTAGAGCCATGCTGCAGCTATATTATGGTTGTAGCACGAATGGGTCGGCTCGACCGGGGAAGGACCACGCTCTCACAGAAAACCAGCGTAAAATAGCAGCTTAACGCTGCTGTGTTTCGTATGGTGAGTGTAGAGAACCGGAGACCCTTTTTACTGGCAAAGAGGCATTCCATCTTAGTCCTCACGAGTGACAACGCATCTGCATCTTGAGTCTTTATTGAGGATAGATGTAGATGTCTATGGGTCACAGTAACCACTTACCATCAGGTGGACTGTGTGCTCGTTTGTCACCCGATTCTATAAAAAAAAAAATGTGAAAATTTTAATTTCTTCTCAAAATTTCTCTGGTATTGTGATGGATTAAGGGCGCTTCAATTTAAAATTTATCGCCGCTACGTGAGAAATATGAGGAAAACTCTGTTTTAGCTGTTATGTGCTGCCATCATAAAATTATTCATTGCAATGTGTGCTGATTTGTCATATTTTTGGCGTGTTATCAAAGAACTAAAAAAAAATATCGCAATAAAAACACCTGCAAGTTTGTGGTCTAAAAGTATATCAATTTTTGAAGTAATAGAATAGGGTAGAATTTGATATTATATATTGATATAGATCAAAGTCAAGATTAGCAGACTTATGACTTCCTCAAAATAATACTTAAATTAGAGGACTATAGGACAAGAAAGTGTGGTAACATTTCAGAAATAAAAACCCCGTCCCCAGAATTGTGACGTATATAGGTGTAAAGGGAATCACCGTAATATAACACGTTGTCTTAATGTAATATAAGTAGAAATAAGCATGTACGGAATGCACGTGTCACCTACAGAAAATACTTACGTGTACGTTCTTGGCATAAACGAAAGCAATTCCGACGAATTACTGCTCTGGTCCCCACTTGCTCTCAGCTGTGCCAAATTGTGCAGAAAGAAGTTTATAGGTGTAAATCTAGTAACAATAAATACAACTACAATTTAGAACATAGTAAACAGAACAATTTAGAGCACTGGTTAAAAGCCATAAATTAAGGTGAGTGTGGCTTAGTGCACTTTTATTTATTCATTCATTACAGTTCATCAAAAGTCATGACGCACATAGGGCTCCCCCATAGCCTTCCTTATAGGGGAAAATAAGTGTACTTGGTTTAGTTTAAAAGAGATCAACACCATAAAGAAACCAAATGAGAAAGTATTTTCTGTATTATTAATTGATTTGCTTGATAGTGTAAGGTTATAGAAATGTGTCACTACTTTTATGCTTAAAGAGTTTCATTTTTAAATAAGACGGTAAAACCCAAGCAAAAGGGGACGCGTCGTATTGATGGTAAGTGACTGGCCTTTCACAAAGAAATGGAAAAAGAAATGAAAAATATTTTTTTGAAGGTCCTAATTCATACTAGCTTTAGTTTTGGCTATGTTGAATGTGTGTTTTAGTGACCTTTACCTTCATACCTACATCGCAATCATAATGTATTACGGATCATCAACAAAAAGTTATTATTATTAAAGAAATGTAGTAACTTTTTAGACGATTCCGGATTTGCCACAGCCCATCTTGCGTCCATATGTAGCTCAATAAATAGATGTGCTTTTACTATAGGAAATTTTAGAGCTTATTATATCCATTTAAGCATATTATAAAAATAATTTAGATCTCAAATTAGTGACGACAAAATTTAGTCAGTTAAAAAAATGGTGAATTGCATAATATGCAATACACTATTTTTTAAAACACCGAGTGGTGACAATATTTCTGTCACCACTTGGTGATATGCACTCAGAATATTGCAGTATGGTGGAAACATAAGAGAGTCCATCGCCATATTTCGTCACGTAGTGTCGTATGAAGCTACTATGGAGAAAATTAAAAGATCTAATGGTTTCCAACAAATGGCGTTATGACCATTCCTTTTATTCAATCAATTGGATGGACAAATGGACAAATTCGCCCAGCGAGCGTGGCCCATGGCCAGGCGTTAGAATTTTTGCGTCGCGATGATGAAGAATAAGATAAATTAAAAATTTACAGTATTTCGCATACCTGAACACAGGAGGTAAGCATTTCGTGGCAGTTGTACATTTATGGTCGCAAAATGTTGGAATTATCGTCCACCACCATTACGAGCCATAACAAATAAGAATAGTTTTAAGAAAAAATACAAGGAGTATTTATTAAGTGCGCATACAATATCATAAAAAAGTACTTCTGTTGCTGGTGCTCATTGTCTCATATTTATGTAATTTACATTTACGAGGGCGACACTGAAAGTTTTTAAAACTGGCCACTTGTAAACGATATAATATTGCGATTTTTATTTATTTCCGAAAGTAAAAGAAAAACTTCATGGAAAACGTTTTATGGACGCCGAGGAAGCAGTGCCTGTGTTTCAAAATACCGTCGAAGAGACCCCTAAGGACGAGTGGGTAAAGTGTTTTTCTCAGTGGTTCCATCGGATGCAGCGACGTATTAATATAAATGGACACTATTTTGAAAAGATATAATAAAACTAATGACTTGTTAGTTTGTTCAGTTTTTGATTTTCTAAGAACTTTCAGTGTCACCCTCGTACATTTAACATTAACATCATTTTAACAACCACTATGTCATTAAGCGTAGTAGTGAGTCAGAATATTAATGTAGGTGTCAGTTCTGTTAGTATTTTCATCTGTATTTAAATTTCAATATTATAATGCAGATGCACAGGAGGCGTACGCACTTGCTCTTGAGCGAGGAGTGTATGAGGCGCGCGAAGGCGGCGGCCGCCTCGGCGTTGGTGGCGGCGGGCAGCAGCGCGGCGCGCACGTAGCCCACCGCCGCGCTCGACACGCCCGCCGCGCCCGACATCGCCATCTGATCACCACACAATTATATCACGCCCACGCTCAACGGACCCTAGCCACGCGGAACAGGATTACAATGCCCGAGTGTATGCGCAAGCACAGGTGCACTCTCTAATCCCTCACTCTCATAGTCCGATGGTACGGCAATCCGACACGACCGGAGAGTGATCAGGCGTAGGACAACGACTTTACGTGCTTTCCGAGGCACTACGGAGAGATACCGCCAACTTCCCGATTCCGAGCTGCTACTGAGAATTTCTTGACAGAAGAACTCAATAACTGATATTGGCCCGGCCCGGGATTCGAACCCGAAATTTCACGATCAGCAATTGCATTTACGACCACTAGACCAACGAGGCACTCTCATGACCTATAATTAACCATCATCTCATTACCTATATCAACGCTAATACAATACTATACAATTAATAGGAATCACATAAGTATCTTAGCGTGAAACCACGTCACTGTCACGTGAATTAACGTTAATTTCATGATGATTTCTTATATTTACGCGAACACTACACATTGAATAAAACTACTTTTACGGATTTTATCGCATTTAATTAAGTTATTTTATATTCCCGACGTTTCGGTTGCTTTCCTTCACCTTGAGTTGAGGTGAGTTAATGATGCCAGCAGGAATCGGACTCGGGTCGCTCGCATTTTTTTTTTTTTACTTATTATAAACCAGTACTTGACTTAGTCTTAGCGTAATAATAGTATATTTCATTACGAGTGCGGAAAGCCTGTAATTGCAAAGAGTTCCGACAAATGTCTACCCGGGCCGAGACGCAACCGAAGGTGAGGATTGACAGTCGGAACAAGTTGCAATGACGGTTCCGCATGTGTACTGAACAACTATTTTTAATACAGTTGCGAAAAAATTAAGCAATTAAATAAAGAACATTTTTGGAAAATGGCGCCAACCGTAAAAGAATATAAGCAGAGATTTTTTTGTTTTCTTCACCCATTCTGGGTAGGCAAAGGGAACTATGCCCATACAGCCAAGTCTTCAGTAGAATTTTTTTATTGATATGAAATGAAAATTAAATTTAATGAGATGAAATGAAATGAAACCTAACCTAACACATTGATTAAAATCATTAAATCTGATATTGAAACAAATTAGTAGCTTCTTTTTAGAAATATTTGCATGAATCATAAAAAATTCTATGAATTTTTTTTAGTAAAAACTTCGTGGTTGGTTTTTTCTTTTTAATAGACATTATTTTGACAGTTGGGAAAGAGAACGCACGAGTTTGGAAAAGGTAAAGAAAAAGCACGAGTATGTAGGTAATAGCCCACATCCCGAACGCTATACGTCCCTGCAATACGCCAATTTTTGAGCAACTGTATTAAAAAAGCCTATTCACTGTTGCCTTGAAAACGCCCAGATTGTATTCGGACGGAAAATTATTCTACTTCTTTGCTGTACGCATTACAAAAGACGAAGCAAATCGTTTGGTTCTAATGCGTGGAATATCGACAACAAAAGGGGGAAGACCCGCCGCACTCTGGACTCAATGAACCGCCCATAGTTGAGGTTCTGAGAAAATTCAACCCCTAACAACTGAAGGCGGTCAGTGGACTCCAAGGATACATCCCGGAAAGTAGGAGCCAAGGTGAGCGGGCTCCTTTTAGCGGTGAAGAGACAGGCTTGTGTTTTGGAGGCGTTAAATCTCACGACATTGGCATCGCCCCATTCGGAGACTGCCTGTAGTGTGAGATTCACACGCTCAACCATAGCCTCTCTTTCTGACTGGATTTGATTCCGACTGCCCGATGCCCGGGGATTTGGTTTTTATTTCTCCACAACTGTGCTGTTGTCCGACCCATAGATACCGGGAATGAGCAGATCATTTATATGCAGCAGGAAGAGAGTTGCGGAGAGAACGAACCCCTGAGGAACACCGGCGTTAGTCGCCACAGTATTGGATGAGCAGCCATCGACAATGATCCGGAGAAAACTTTCACTCAGAAAGTCCTTCACCCAGACAATCAGGCCAGGGGATAAGCCGTACGCTTAAACGCTTAAAGCTTGCCCAATAAACTAGCGTGCCAAACCCTGTCAAAGGCCTTCGAAACATCGAGAGAAACAGCAAGTGCTTTACCATTTTTCTCGAGGGCTTCGCTCCATATGTGAGTGGCATACGCTAGAAGGTCCCCAGTTGATCGATTTCGGCGAAACATGTACTGGCGATCACTGAGGAGATCATTTTGCTCTAGGTATGCCATGAGGTGGGCGTTCAATATACGCTCCATAATCTTGCAGAGTATGGAGGTAATTGAAATTGACCGATAGTTGGCAGAGTCGGGACGGCTACCTTTTTTAGGCACAGGCTGCTCATTGGCCAGCTTCCAAGATGGGGCACTATTCCAGTCCTGAATGAGAGGCGGAACAAGCGTGTCAGCACGGGAGACAACTCAGGTGCATAGATCTTTAGAACTATAGCTGGTATACCATCAGGTCCACTAACTTTGTTCACGTTTAGACTTCGCAAGATTTTAAGAACCTCCTTGTTGGTGATACGGACCTCTGACATAGAGGTACCGCAGTGACATAATTGAGATGCTACGCTGTTGCTACTGTCCAGACGCTAATTGCAAGCAAAAAGAGAAGCTTTGGCGAGAGACCAAAAAGCTCTACTGCCAAATGGATTGACAGAGAGCTTTGTACCGATGCGTTTAATGCGGTCGAAACTGGCTTGGTGTAATGCCTTTTTACAGGACTTGGCGGCTTGGTTAAAGGCTCTCTTCTCAATGGGCACGTCAGCAAAAGGGATGAAATACTCCATCGCTTGACGTATCACATCAGTTATGGCATTCGCGCAGCTCGACGCGTCTTCAGACATGAAGCAGATCTGCCACCAAGGATAATATGCAAAGAAATGCCGCATCTCATCCCAATCCGCTGACTTGTATCGCCACACTCGCCGCACACCGTGAAAATCATCGTTAGGTGGGGAATATAACGACACATATTTCACTAGACAGTGGTCAGAAGTTCCCAAGGGTGAGGTAATCTGAACATCGTACCTGTCTGGATCGGTCGTCAGCAGAAGGACGAGGCAGTTGGTTGTGTGCCCATTAACATCAGGTACCCTAGTAGCTTATAGTACCAGCTGGGAGAGCTCCAGCGACAAGGAAAAATTCCACGCCTCTCTCCCAGCGTGGTCGGTCTTCTGATATGGGAACAACCAGTCCTGGTGAGGCATTAAGGTCCCCCAAAAAAACCAACCGTGCATTAGGGTACCGATTGTGTTCAAACAGCCTAGTTGTCTCCTAGTCACCGCTGTGCGATCGGTAGATACAAGAATAAATAATTTTATCCATTCCTGTGTCTATCAATACCCAGATCGTAGTAAAGTGGGGTCTTCAAGGTGACGGAGATGCTTACAGCAGATGTCGTTGCGGACGTAAACACAGACTCCGGCGCGGTGATGGAAATTATGCTCCAATGTGTACCCATGGTAGCCAAGATGCGCCGCATCTAGAGGACAACTCATCTACGTCTCAGTCAAGAAGCGTAAGTGCGGCTTGTCAGTCTCAAGGTGGTAATGGACTGCATTACAGTGCAGGCCTCGGATGTTTGTGAGGTGTACTTTGATGGAGAGGGAGTGCAACCGCTGTATAAACTTACTCTTCTTTTTCCTTTTTTTCATAAATGGTGGGAATGAATATGTTGAGAGAATGGCAGTTGGACGAGGCGTCACACATATAACCTAGGGACGCTAGCAGAGTCACAGCATCGGTGGTACCTAACATGGAGATCGTGGGGACGCCAAAACGCCCCTGGAAATCACCATAAGGCCCTCTCCTCTTGTCGCCAACCGGCATGGTAGAGCCATCCCAGGATTTTTCGTAAGATGGCGGGGCAGCCTTTCGTGAGTGGCTGACTCATTAATTGGGCCCCCAACTATCTACGGTCGGCCAGCGGTACAACCGTGCTTCGGATCCCCCTAACCTCCATAACCAGGCACCTGACACTAAGAAACGGCCGCGTCGCAACCGCTTCGTATGCGCAACGCAACTGTCCAGACACATTCTCCCTAAGGAATGGGTTTCACCTAACATCGTACCGGAACACGATTTGCATCATTTGGCGGTATGTCTTTGCCAGGTGGGTGGTAACTAACCCCCTCTCACTAGTAGATGCCCAACCTACCACCAGTATGTAGTGCTGCTCGTTTATACCCAGGGGATACGAGTAGGGAATCAGGATTCAAGTAATTTCTACGGACGCGAGCAACTTCATCCCCCAAAACTAGCTCCTTCATACAGACTGTTATAAAATAGGTATCTTGCACTAGTCAATTGAAATATTATTTAAAATGTTTCAAAACATATTAGATCTTTACCTATGAAATTGCCGTTTTCTATGAAATAAGTTAACGTAATTTTTTTCCATATTTTTTATTTCTATTAATCAATGTAATCACCCATGCAGTCGATGCATCTTTGCACACACAGTGGCAGTTTATTGATGCCCTTCTTAAAGAAATCAGCTGGACGGAATTCTTCAAAAGCATTTTGTACTGTCTGGGGTATTGAATTTTGTCCCCACCAAAAAGTTATCCAAATTCTGGAAAAAGTAGAAGTCTGTAGGCGCAAGGTCTGGTCAGGATAACTTTTTGTTTAGGCGCTGATCTAACCAACTTGCAGAGCGCTTGTAACACAATCCATTTTTCGTCGCAAGTAACAATGCTCTTCAAAATTCCTTCGTTTGTTTGCCTGTTGAGCAGTGCAAGGCACGTCTCGACGCGTACTTCACGCTGGCGATCATTGAGTTTCCCATGCCCATTGTCAAACTTTTTTACCTCGTCAATTTGACGCAAATGGACCAATATTCTTTTGATACTAACGTTGAAAGCAGCTCTTAATTCAGCCGTAGATTAAGTATCATCAGCTTCCACAATCGCCTTTAATTCGTCATTGTTGACCTGTTTACGACCACGGGATTCATTTTTCAGGTCGAAATTTCCAGAAAGGAAGCGGGCAAACCAATAACAAGTGGTACGTTTGTTTGTATTATTCGCTCCATAAACGTCGTTGATGTTGCGTGCCGCTTGTGCCGCATTGCTGCCACAAAGGTACTCATACTCCATAATTACTCAAATTTTTAACGTATCTACGATGACAAAAAAATAACAAATGTTTTGAAAAGAGAATTCCATGTTTTTAAAATGAAATTAATATGAAATTAGAATTCTTAGCCAAACAAAAATTATTTTGATTTGTGTTAATTTATATTTAATTTATTCTCAAATTGAAATAACCCACATTTATAGAGTCAATCATACTGGTATTAGATGTCCTCTACCTTTGATGACACTTCTATTCATTTGTTTAAATTATCATAAACTAAAAATCACGGCCGCGAACTGTATTAAATTTGTGTAACCGTGCAGTACAACTCTGAGTGCATCGCTGGAATCAATCTGAGAGTACGAGATTTATCATTGGACGTTCCAGGTTCGTGCGTGCTTTGTTCGCCAATTGCCGGTTGCTGAATTTAAGATTTAAATACAATCTAATCACGCGAAATCAATCCACATTAGCTTTTATATAACTACATTTCCGCACCATATTGAAATGGTCAGTACTGCTGAACGCCAATTTCATAGGTAAAGACCTTTTAAATATACAATATTTAGAAATTGTCTAAGAAAAATGTAGTGACATCACAATTCTAATAGTCAAATTATAAATACATTTCTATATTGTTAAATTTACAAATTGCTAAATATTGTGTAGTAAATACACAAACTTCACGAGGCAACTCCAAAACTCACCTTCAGAGCTTACAAATCGACACGTCTGAACTTGTTTAATTTTATATATTATCCTCTATAAGCTATTAAAACGCGGTGACCTGCCACACATTACTTTCCTTCCAAACTCAAGGTCGATGGTACATTCCAATTTGGTCGTCGAAAAAAAAGGGAAAAACTTGTGTCGGGAAAGGTGTGCAGCCGGGTGAGCGGCTAATGATCCGTGTGATAAACCAGACCATCTATATTTAATGTAGTCGTTGGAAAACTTTGACAAACAAACATTGTTGTTCGGTCGTTTAGGCAAGTTGTCAGTAAGACCAAGTCCTTGCTCTGGAGTACTGTTTGGCTAGAGGTAAAGGTTGGGCGCGGTGGGCTATGGGCGGTGGGCGGTACGTACGAGCGCGAAGAGGTCGAGTATGTGGGTGTGGTGCGCGCGCACGATGTTGAAGGCCATGCAGCACAGCTCCACGAAGTGCTGGAAGCGCTGCGTGGGCCGCTCGCCGCCGTTGATCACGTACGCCATGTCGTGCGTCAGCACGAACGGCGCGCGGTCCCTGCACATCCCCACATATTATATCATTCATTCACCCATTCATTCGTTCATTTATTACAGCCCATCAAAAGTTCACTGTCCAATATAGCTCTCATAGGGAGGATATTTGCCATAGTTGCAACGCTTTGCAGGCGGATTGGAAACCGCAAATTATATTGAGTTGTTATCAGAAAGATGTTGCTGCCGATCTTAGGCTTGAGTAAAAAAAATCGATATATCGAAATATCGATATTTTCTCAATTATAATTATAATTTTAATCGCGATATATCGATATTTGATATTTATTTTACAATATCTGCAATAACGATATATCATTACTTATATATTTGAACTTGAGTATAAAATTCGGCTACTCTTTGAAAAATAACCCTGTATAATTGTTCAAATTCATTAACATTGTGTGTGTGTGTGTGTAGGATAATAACGCTACTAATGGAAGACCCTTGTTTATCAATAGACTTTTTACCGGCTAGTGATAAGCATCAACATGTTTCATTTGTTATACTCGACGACTAGTACTCGCAATCTTCTAAGCATATTGACTTCCAAAAACCAGTCTGCCATCTATCTAGATCTATAAGATATTTACTTTGAAATAATTCAATTTTTAGACGTTTTATTTCTAAGATAATTAATAGAATCAGGCGTTACTTTGCAGAAGTCCATTATATTAAATTTGCCAAAAAATTACTTTGCGTACATCCGCTAGATAAAATAAAATTATGTGTCTTACCTAGTTTGAAGATCACCTCCCGCCCTCTCTCAATTGCGTGCACTATCCCCGTCACCACTAATCCCAGCACCACTACTCCTTTTAATTCTATTTTAAGAATTTTATAGCAGCTACACGCAACCTGACAATTCTTTCAGACCACCTTACCTTTTAAAATTGCCAAACATCTGAGCGTCGCCTAAGAATTTTCCAAAATCTATGTGAAACAAATGTCCGGATGTCTTCAACATAATGTTGTCATTGTGTCGATCGCAAATCCCGAGCAAGTACGTTGCCACGCTGTAACCCGCACACGACGCTGTCAAAAAAATGAAAAAAAAAATGAAAAAAAAAATACGTAAGAAACAGATACATGAAATACATTGAAACAGTTTATTTTATTTCACAACGAAAAAAATATGGGACTTAAAAATAATTAACTAAGTAGCAAAAAGTGTGTCCGTTTCGACATTTTTGATATATTTAATTCCCACATTCACGTGAAAAACCAAATTTGGCAAATAAAATATAAATATTATTAAATTAAATTATGCTGAAAATGTTTAACGGCAATGTCAAAAAGATGTGAATACAAAATACAGTGCATTTTATTTATAAAAATAACTAACATAAAGAGTGCCTAACAAGGGGGTTATTTGCCATAGTTGCCACGCTTGGCAAGCGGGTTGAGCAGCCGCAGTTTTTTCTTTTTAGTCGTTATTAGGAAGACACTGCTGCCCATCTCCTGATTTGTTTCACTCTGTCGCCTCCTTACGACACCCACGGGATGATATTGTGTAGTGAGTTATTCTTACACCGCCGCTACACGGGACAGTGTAAGAATATCCACTTCGCCCGGGTAAGAATATCTAAGTAAGTAACTAGACTTAACGGGATACCTATGTTATATTGCGAATATTAACGAAACTGATTTCAATTACTGGCAACAACGCTTTTGTGTTAACTGTCACCATGTCAATTTAAATCTGTCTAAATTGACATGGTGACAGTTAACACTAAAATCGGCTACCAAGCTATTTCTTCTGTGTAAAAAGAAAGAGCTTGGTAGCCGATGATTCAAACCGCTCTGTGCTGGATTCGATCAAATAGAAGTAGCTGGCACTGGGGAGCCCCAGCCCAGAGATGGGAACAGTATTCCATGTAATGCCGAACCTGCGCCTTGTAAAGTTGCAAGCGGTGTGTCGGCATGAAATACTGTCCCGCTCTGCTGGGCAATCCAAGATTTTCAGAGGTCAATTTGGCCTTCTCTTCCAAGTGACCACGAAACTGCACGTCACTCGATATATCGACGCCGAGGATTCCGATTCTGGCTGAGGCAACAAGGGGACAACCTTGAAACTGAGGAGATACGACAAAGAGGTTCTTTTTAGCGGTAAAAGCGCAAACTTGTGTCTTCTGGGGATTGAACTGGACTAGATTTAGTCGCCCCCAGTCTGAGGCTTTGTTCAACAAAGTTTCGACTTCAGACAAAAGTTTGTTCCGGTATTCGGCGACGTTTTCCCGAGAAATATTGGCACGGCCGGTGTATAAAGCATTACCAGTGCTGTCGTCTGCATAGCAATGAATGTTACCGGTTTGCAACATATCATTGATATGCAGAAGAAACAGCGTTGGTGATAGCACGCAGTCTTATGGAACACCAGCGTTAATGGGCTTGTAATCGTAGCATGCGCCGTCTACTACGACCTTGATGCCCCAATCTGCAAGAAAACTGGTGATCCAATTGCACAATTTCCCGGGAAACCCATAGGAAGGCAGTTTCGAAAGAAGCGCTTTGTGCTAAACCCGATCGAAGGCTTTCGCTATGTCAGAAACTAACGGCTTTGGGACTCCACTGCCTCCGCTCATCTATGAGTTAGGTTACCTAGAAGATCAACAGCTGATCGACCTCGACGGAAACCGTACTGGCGGTCACTAATCAGCTTGTGATCCTCAAGGTACCGCATGAGCTGGCTGTTAATAATGGTTTCCATTATTTGGATAACAAGGCGATAGTGATAGGCCTATAAGTTGGACGGATCTGAGCGGTCGCCTTTTTTAGGGATCGGGTGCGCCAAAGCTATCTTCCATGAGTTCGGTACTACGCCCAGGGAGTAGGAGTACCGGAAAAGAAGCGTTAAAACCGGTGCCGGAGCACACGTATTCAGCACAATAGGTGGCCCCATCAGGTCCACTCGACTTGTTGACGTCCAGGGAGAGGAGTGCTTTACGCACCGAGCCCTGTGTAAACAGCACTTTCTGCATGGAGCACTCACACCGCGGGATGGTCGGCGGTATGTTCCCCCGTCATCTAGAGTTGAGTTGGAAGCAAAAAGAGCGCCTAGCAGATCGGCTTTCTCCTTTGCGTCATGGGCCAGTGAGTCCTCCGCCCTGTGTAGAGACGGCTGACAGAAGTTACCTTGGACAGCCTTGGCAAGAGACCAGAACGCACGTGTTCCCGAAGGGAGGCGAACTATTTTCTCGCCAATTCTACCGATGTGCTCTGACTTTGCCTTGGCAATGACACTTTTGAAGGACTTGGAGACGGAATTATACTTCTTTTTAAGAGCGCTGGTGTTTACATCTCGGGACGTTGTGCGTCAGCCCAGGCCTGGTAGCACTCCTGCTTATAGCGTGATGCAATTTTACAGGAGTGACCAAACCATGGCTGAGTTCTGCCTCCGATAGGCACCACAGATGATGGAATACATAATTCTATTCCTTGCAGTACCACATCAGCGACAGAATCAGCAATAACGTTGGGATCATCCGACGAGAAGCATACCCAAGCCCCAAGGGAAGGTTGCAAAAAAAGACCGCATCCCGTCCAAATCGGCCGACCTATAGTGCCAAACATGGCAACAACATGCAGATCGCAACTGCGATGGGAGCGTGAGTGGCACCGTACTCCGGATCAGACAATGGTCCGAAGAGCCAAAACGGGCATCGACGGAGACATGATATCTGTCCGGATGAGAGGGCAGCAGGTCCAACAGGGCATGTACATGATCCTCCACATTTGGGATCCGCGTAGGCGAAGTAAGCAGTTGTGTCAGACCATATGCCAAGGCAGAGTCACAAACAGATCTACCCACATAAGCGGTTAAACGGGAACCAAGTCATTCAGCGTGGTGGGCGTTAAAATCACCGAGCATCACGATCTCTACGGATGGGAGCTGTTGTAGCACGGAGTCAGCAGCCATTTGGACGTGGTCGATGAGTCGGTCTGTGTTGGCATTACCGCTGTGAGACCTAGAGACACCCGTAGACGCGGAGATGGTCATCGCTGTCTACGCGCTGCCGGATGCAGGATGAACAAGTCCGTACCTTCAATCTGCCGAGGCGTCGAAAACAGATGTTCTCTGTGGCGAACACGCAAACTCGAGCCCGAGGCACAAAATAGTGCTGTAATTTGTACCCCGGGTAGGGGAGATACGAAGTATCACCCGGAAAGGACACTTGTGTCTCGGTTAGAAAGAGAACCAGGGGGGGGGGGGATTGGACGTCCGGCGGACGACCTGCACTCACCAGGCGAAACTTCTACTTAACGCTGTATTCTCTGAGGTCGTGGTACTACCCCAGTTCGAGCCGGCCCATCCGTGCGACAGCAACAGCTGCCGCGTGACTCTACCACTGTTAAATCATAAATCAACGTGAGATGGAAAAGTGTAAAATGCATAATTATTTATCTGTGGATTGTTTTTAATTAACTGGCAGCATGAGGTTATGCTCTTTTTGACGTTAAGTTACGATGCTTTTTGATAAAATTAGTTTGAAACTACCAAGAATTTATAAGTAATAAATATTCAAAGAGTAAAATAATATGTTTACTTATGAGTGGAAACGACATTTATTTCACTGCACCTATTACAGCTTCAAAAGCCCATTAGAAACACACTTTTGACTTTTATTTTTAACAAATTCTCACAATAACACGTAAAACATAAAATACCTAACGAAAGCAGGTACTATATTTTACGCTCTTTTGTTTGGCCCAGAACTGTCAAATTTTGACATTTGGTCGGTATAAAAGTATACACAGCGTTAAGGACAGAAAAAAATATCGGTGACTTTTTCATATTAGTACGATAGTGTATCTACACATCCTTTTCAACAATACTGTTTGTTACCAGTCTAGGTCTGTGCTAGTTTTTGATCCATCGAGTTTGCTTTATTGCATATACTTTAACAGACATTCTACATAAAATTCAAACAGACCAAATGTTTTATAATAATTTTGTTGATTACACGAATTTACGATTACTCATAAAAACCTGAAACATATAGAAATACCTATATGGTCTGAAAGACTGTGGATAAATTAAAACACAAAGTACATTAATAAAACCATATGAATTTCTCGATGCTAAATCCACAAAAAATACCTGTAAACCGCACTTAAATTTCATTAATTCGAATCAGCCATACGACTACTGTTGTGAACCACTTCTGAAACAAATTTAAGCTTACTTGACGTTCTTAACGGAAATATTAGTAATGTTAACATAATTGATAATATTTTTTCTATTAAAATAAATTTCTTGAAGAGATGCCGAGACCATAATCTCATTCCTACGTGTGTCAAAATATCCACTAAAAAGGACATTCGAGGAAGCGCTATCTTAAATCAGGCAAGTAAAAAGTTGTTACGAAAGGTAATCCAACAAAAACGCTCCGATCTACATGACATAAAAAAACCAAAGACATTTAGTGAGTTAAAGGCAGTTTTTATATTGCGTAGATCGGAACAAAAATTAATAATTTTTAATCTGGTGGTAGCCGTGGTTAACGTGACCATGGGTGCTGGAAAGTGCTCGAAACGTCGGGAATATAAAATAAGTTAATATACGCGATAAAATCCGTAAAATTATTGAATAAAACTACTTTTACGAATTTTATCGCGTTTAATTAACTTATTATGTTTATTTTTATTAATTCCCGACGTTTCTATTATATATTTCTTATATATTTCTATATAAGAAATAATTATGTAAACCAGTACGGACTGGAAACAGCAAATAAAATACGCCGACTAGAACATCTCAAGACCAAGCGCGCAAGATACGTAACATCTTTAAACTTCTTGAAGAGATGCAGAGACCTTAATCTCATTCCTACGTGTGTCAAGATATCTACTAAAAAAGACATTCGAGGAAGCGCTAAGATCTTAAATCAGGCAAGCAAAAAGTTGTTAATAACGGTGATTCAGCAAAAACGCACCGATCTGTTTCATAAATAAAACCATAGACAAATCGTCCAGTGATCTAAAGACAGTTTTATCGACATTTGATTATAAGAATTGCATGGAAACTTTAGATAAACGTGAAACAACTAAATACAATGAGTGCAAAAATAAACATATAGAGAAATACCAAAAACTAACAACCAAATCAAATGTCCAACATCAATGTCAACGTAAGAACGGAACGCAACCATTGACAACAGACGCGAGTAATAAACAACGAGCGGTCTATAACCTGTCAAAACAATGTCTGGACGACGCGACAATAAAAGTTTTGGCCAAAGGTATGAATTTCGCAATAACGCCGCGAGAAATCCCGTATGAAAACATTATCTGTAGTGTTGAGGACTGTCTATATAAAAAGAATATTGGTAATGAAGATTTAGAGTCAATACGTCAAGAAATTTCGTCTTTGTTACGTCGAAGCTCAGCGCCGAAATTAAATCTTCCCAAAGATGAATTTATTGCATTGAAAAACTTACGCAACAGACCAGATCTCACGATTCTCCGCGCAGATAAAGGTAATATTAAGGTTATAATGGATACGTCGGATTACAATTTAAAAATACAACAACTTTTATTAGATGAAAGTACTTAAATAAATGTCAAAACAGACCCTACAACTAATACGCTTAAAACAACTAGCGATCTCATTAAAAATACTCCGAGAAATGGAATCTAGACGTTAATTCGATAATACCTGTGTGTGCCAAACCACCGAAGTGGGTTACCAAAAATACACAAACCGAACGCTCCATTACGTCCAATAGTGAGTCAGATCGATTCGCTAACTTACAGATTGGCTCAACACCTAGCAAAAGTACTATCACCACTCAGAGGACACACAAGAGCACACACTAAGGATTCATGACATTTTGTCAGTGAGATAAAAGACCTATATCTTACTGACAATGAAACTATGGTCAGTTTTGATGTTCAGTCTCTATTTACATGCCTACCTGTTGAAGACTGCATCTCAATTGTAACTAGGAAACTAGAGGAAAACAACATGCCAGCAGAATATGCAGTATTAGTCAGACATTGCCTTACATCTGGCTATCTATTGTGGAAGGAAGAGTTTTACAAGCAAGTAGAAGGTGTTGCGATGGGCTCACCGGTATCTCCCATTGTCGCCGATATTTTCATGGAGGACTTTGAGGAGAAAGCCCTGCTTACTGCACCAGTAACTCCAAGGTTCTACAAGCGGTGCGTAGACGATACTTTCACAATTTTACCATCAGACAAAGTAACTGCATTTTTAGAACATCTCAATTCCATAAACTCTAAAATTGGAGGCAAATAATTTTTTAGCTTTCCTAGATGTGTTAGTCATTCGAAATCCTAATAACACCATAGGTCACACTGTATATAGAAAAAAGACCCATACAAACCAATATTTAAACGGTGAATCCCACCATCATCCTTCACAGTTAGCTACCGTTGGCAAATCTTTGTTACAGAGAGCACGAGGGATCTGTGACAGCAAACACCTGGCCGCCGAGCTTCAGCACGTCAAGCAGGTTCTGCACGACAACAAGCTTCGGGTTCCGCGCCTATGTCACAGTGACCGAGTGAAGCCGGCCACAGTCGAGCGTGTGCCTGCTGTACTACCATATGTTAGAGGTGTCACAGACAAGATTGGCTACATCTTGAAGCGAGCTTCTATTAGAACATTCTTCAAGCCGCCGAAGAAGATTAGTCAATTCTTACCATCCGTCAAGTGCAATATTCTTCTACAAGATGCAGGAGTGTACAAGCTTGATTGTGAATGTGGTCTCTCATATATAGGGCAAACAAAACGATCAATAAAAACACGCGTAAAAGAATACATAGCTGACGTAAAGCACCAACGTTCCGGGAAGTCTGCAGTTTGTGATCATATCCTAGACGGCCCCCGCCATTACATTAGATTTGGTAAACCACAAATTCTCGCGAAAGAACATCGATTCCTACCAAGGATGATACGTGAGGCTATTGAAATTAAAAAACATCCTAATTTCAATAGAGAGGGAGGCTGAGTACTACCACCTGCTTGGGATCTTGTAATTAATAAAATTAAAACTAAACCCAAGCATACCACTGCAAAACTTCAAGATACAGTAAGTTCATTCTGCGTAGATCGGACCAAAATTAGTAATTAAAAAAGCTGAAGGTACTCGGGATTAACTCTGACATCGGGACGTCAATAACCTCAGTCCCCCGTGACCATGGGTGCTGGAAAGCACCCGAAACGTCGGGAATTAATAAAAATAAGCAAAATAAGTTAATTAAACGCAATAAAATTCGTAAAATTAGTTTTATTCGATGTGTAGTGTTCGCTTAAATATAAGAAATCATTCCGTAAATTAGTTTTATTTAAAAATAAACAACTTCACTGAACATTACAGAAACTAACCAGTAAAGTTGTCTCTGGCTCGTTGGTACTCCAGCTCAGATGGGTTGTGCTTTGCGAGCCACTCAGCGATTGGCTTGTCCTTAAATGAACCAGTCAATCCCCACTCCGTTTGTATGGCCCGTAGAGTCTCCGCTTCTGTTACTATTTCTATCATTCCTGTAAAAACAAAACATTAAAGTTTTTCTTATTACAAATTTGAATGTAACATTTTTTCTTTATTTTAGATTTCGCTATGATATTTGTCTCTTAAGGTAATAATAAAGATGATGATTACTATGGCTCGAAGGACTTTATGTTTTTTGGTTTTCACTGCAAGATCCGTTCTACGAAAAGATAAAATTCAATTGCAATGATTACCATAATATACAAAATTAACTAGAAATTTATAAAATAAAAATGATATAAATCACAAAACAATTTCTTTACAATGAACAGTACAGTTTGGATACCTTTTTGGTGACTAGTTGGTAAAGCTTGGAAGGTCACTATTCGTAGATCTAGTCCCGCTTTAAGCCAAAGATTATCCATCACTTTGATCACTTGCAGCACTAAGGCGTCTTGCCTTAAGTCGTCTCCCACCTAGACGAGTGAATTTTATATCAATTAATGAAATATTCGTAGTTAAATTAAATTCAAAAATTAATAACAATAATGAAAATTAAAAACTTAAGATAGAAAGGGAAGTCTATCGATACCATTATATAACATAGGCCTTTAATTTAAACGCCTTATAAAAAGACGTGTCGCCAAAGGGATGTAAAAACTAAATCAAAATTATTGCTAGTTGCTTACCTTGAACATTGCAGGTACAACTGCATTGTCAACACCGATAAAGTTAATTTTCAATGGGAGAGTGTTTGAAGAGAAATAGGAACACGATCTGTGAACAACATCATATGGATTTATTATTTTATAGAATATACAAAAATTTCGTTTCTAGAAAAATATTTATCATTTATTTGAAATACAAGTATGTATTTTATTTAAATTACACCATAGAATTAGAAAGTAATTTATTAATTTTTGATGTAGATGGTCGATTTTGATTTTAGCGACATCTTTCAAATACGATTTAAATGTTGTTTTTTATACAAGTCCGATACAAAATGAACGCCCGGAGATTGTGTATTATAAAAGTAGTAATAATTCATCTCTTATTGCGAGGGTATAAAACAATCATCTTCAAACACAGATATAGTATATTATAGATTGGCGATGGAGTGATTAGGGAGAGACCAAAATCAAAATACACCAGTGTGCGTATAATGTGCATGTGTGGGTGACAAATAGTGCTGCACCATGCATTGCCTACCTCAACTTCAATCATCTATACCGATTACAGTATATTCGTGTCTTTTGATTTGAAGCAGGTGGTCTTAAAGTTACCTATACACGTTCCACTGCTGGACACAGACCACCTGTCATTTCTGAGAGAGTTTTAGGGGAAGGAATTGTCCACCGCGCTGCCCCGTTGCGTGTCAGCGAATGTCACATGTCTTCGAAAAATTTTTTTTCTTATTTGTCAGACATGCAGGTTTCCTTACGATGTTTTCCTTCACCGACGAGCACGTGGTAAATCTGCACTTAAAATTTTAATGAACAATTTCATTGGTGGTGCTGAGCACTGAGCAAAGACACGCAGCACAGTACTTGATGTCGACGTCGTGCACGTAGCGATGCAGCGCGAGCGGCAGCGCGACGGGCTCCGGGCGCAGCAGCGCCGCCAGCCGCTCCCCGCCGTCGTGCAGAGCGCGTTGACGTAGCGCCTCCTTAGCGCATTTCACAGATAACGCCACTTCTGACACAGTCTACAAACAAAATAAATATTTTATTGTGTTGACATACTAACGGCTTGCTCGACGAATTACTTCAAGCGTTTGCGTAGTAAAAATCACCTTGTCCTTATTAGAGGCAATTTCCTCAAATACAGAAACAAATTTTATACACACCACCACACATTAAAGCTGAGTGTGGTTCCTGAAACAAAATTTGTTATTTTTTTATTTCAACGGTTGTATTACACCTTTTAATTGTTTTAGTGGCACTGCCAATTGTTTAATTTGTTAGAACTTGAGGGTTCCGGATAGGGTTACCAGATGAAAAAATTAAAAGTCCGGAGAAGAGGCCTATTTCCATTTAAAAATCCTGAGATTTTTTTACAGTTTGAGAAGAAAACCTTACTTAAAAAGGTATCTTCACATATTAAGTATGATAAAACTGTTTAAGTACCTGCTTGGGTAAATAAATTTTGATTTTAATTGTGTTTCTTTTAAATGTGTGAATGTATGTTAAAGAAAAATTATTTTTAATTTGTTTAACTTTTTATTAAAGAGATCTTCAAAATGTAAGCTGTATTATATTAAAAGTTCTAAAATCCTGAGATTTCACGAGATTTGCAAAATCCAGCCGCAATCCTGAGAAGAGACTAAAAATCCTAAAATCTCAGGACAAATCCTGAGATATGGTATATATTTATACGGTGCCGTGTAGTGGCGGTTAAGAATATCCACTACTCCATATCTTCCAGTGGGTGTCGTAAGAGGCGACAGGGGGAAACAGGCAGGAGATGAGCAACAGCATATTCCTGATAACACAGTAATAGTACATATTTATAGATAAGAGACTGGTGCCAGTGTAAGAATATTCACTACCCCATATACCCCGTGGGTGCCGTAAGTGGCAACAGAGGGAAGTAAATCAGGAGATGGACAGCAGCGTCTTCCTAATAACTATTAAAATTTAAAAAAAACTGAGATCTCCAAGTATGGCAACTATGGCAAACATCCCCCCATGAGCAACTATACAAATAAACGGCCCAGTTATTCCTGGCTACGGTGGCCACCATGGTTGGCAGGGAGTGGTAAGAATATCTGGTGGAAGTTTGGTTGCCACCTAATACGACTCGACTTAGCAAAATTGAACGCACGCACCCTGAGGACTGACAAGAAAATCCTGGAGCTGGAAGAAGAGATAGCCAAGTTGCGTTGGGATATTATAGGATTATCTGAGGTCCAAAGAGAGGGGAGGACACGGTAATCCTCGAATCCAGCAACTGAATCTATCACCGGGAGGGCAAACATCTGTCTCAAGGTGCCAGATTTATCCTTCACAAACCTTTCGCTAATAACGTTGTAAACGTTGTTGCGTTTGCAACTTATTTCAAGTCAAATTTCTAACACCCGGGCGCTCAATCAACTCCTCCATATATTTCTAATGTAACTTCAACATCAACTGCAAATATTTCAAAAATAGAGGTTAACATTAAGCACGTGTATCGGTTGTAGAAAGCTCTTGATCCATAAAAATCTGCCGGACCTGATACCAGCCATTTTTCTGTGCAGAAACGATAGCACTACCAATAAGTTTACTATTTTGCAAATCGTTGGATGAATGCTCAGCTCCTGATAATTAGAAACGTGCATATATCACCCTTTGCACAAGAAGGGCCCTAGGCCTGATGTCACTAACTGTAGGCCAATTTCTTAGTTGTGCATCATTTCTAAAGTCTTTGAAGTCGGTTTATGAGCAGGTGTATCCGTTACTCAAACAAATGTCTCAACATGGTTTCTTCAAGGGTAGATCTACCGATTCCAACTTGGTGCTCCTTAATTCATTCTTGACTAAAGTCCTGGATGATGGTCATCAAGTTGACGTTATTTAAACAGATTATAGTAAGGCTTCCGACCGGATTGAACATAATCTGCTTTTAAAAAAGCTTCAATATGTTGGTGTCTGTGTTTGTGTATCGACAATCGCTCGCAGGCTGTAGTTATTAACAGTTATTGTTTGCGCTAAATGTTAATATTTAAAACTGCATTACGAGCGCTCGCATCCGATGGTAACAGGGGTAGCTGCCGGGCCTCTCTCCCCCGCGCGCGTTCCTCCGCTTACGCCCGGTCACCTGATGTGGCGATTAACGGGACTGGTTTTGCCGAGGCGTCGAGCGCCACGACAGTCGCTCGACGCGTTGGCCACCGGATAGTATGGTTTGTGACAGTTAGTTGGTCAGGCGCGGTCCGTGGGTGTCAAGAATTGTGCACGTCGTTTTTGAATTTACTATCGAATATTTGGATTGACATTACTTACTGTCGTTTTGCTCCGTTGAACTGCGAGGTCGCGTGCAAAAGGAAGCCTCTAATTCGTGTCGTTTTTTTTGTTAGTACGTTTACGTAACGACGAGGCGTTTTTTCTTGAATTTGAGTGATTAAAGTAAATTCGTTTGCAAGTAATTTACGTGAATTTGTATAGTGATTGCATTTTGAAGTGCATTTTGCAATATTTAATTTGCTTGTGTGACGCGGTATCGTGCGCGCACGCAGAGTCGTAAGACGGCCTGGAATTTGATGCTCGCATTCCATTTCGAGGGCGTGGCCCGGTTAATTGTTTTTGGAAGTTAATGTTGAATTGTAACGTCGCGATAAGTGCCTTTTTTGTGTGTTGACTATTTTCGTTCCTTTTACGTGTCAACGAGGCTGATTTTGAGTTCTGATTGCGGGCGTGGTATTTTAATATCGTACGAAAGAATTTTAGCTTGTTTTGTGGTACACTAACCTTGTGAGTCGAGAGGAGACCGCGAGTGCTCGATTACAATTTGTTGCTAAGTGAAAATGGAACGTTGAACTTTGATCGACCGTTCATTAGTTGTGTCGTGTCTCACTTGTTTGATTACGATTAAAGGGGATTTAGTTGAGTTTGAAGTTAATTAAATGTACAATAAAGTGGATAAACTGAAATAGTGAAATGAAGGCAGAAGTTTTCAATTGGTGAACTACGACTGGAGGGAGCGCACATTTGGAGAACAGCAGCGCCTGTGGATCTTCTCTCCGATTACATCGGACCGTCAGGTTACATGTATATACACTTTCGCACACGACTTTACATACACCTCACTTATCACCTGACTGGTACCCTGTGGTCAACCCTACCTCCGCAGATCGGTAAGTTTTTGTTTCATTAGCAGCCCTTATAGAATAATTGTCCATAGGCCATTGGGCTCCACCCTTGGTTGCTCGTCGAGTGGTCCGCTGATGGGCCCCGGGATAGTCGACCCTTGTCGGGGCAACTGAGGGCGTGTACAGTTATATATCAGGTTGGGTGTCAATACCGAGTGCCACAGCGCTCCTTGCTGGGGCCGCTGCTATTTCTTATATTGTTAACGACATTGAAACCTGTTTTAAATCATCACACCTACTGTGTTTGCTGATGATTGAAAATATTTTCCTCAAATCTTATTTCAGGCTGATGCTGAATTACTGCAGGAAGCTCTACTAAGATTGTAGAAATACTCTAATATGAACAAGCCTGATCTAAACCCATCAAAATGTACCCTTATTACATATTCACGCAAGCGAAACTGTTGAAATTATCCCAAATTGAATGTGATTTATGGGCAACAACGTTTTTGCCTACCGATAGACTCTTACGAATGTGTGCGTGCGCAGTAAAACCAGTAAAAATAGTACATAACCAGGCATTTTCAATTTAAAATTTAAAAAGAACAGAATTATTCAGATTTTTTAAAATTAATTTTTCTTCACCATTTGCCTATATTACTTATTCTGAACATTCTCTGAAAATTTGGGCGGTTATTGCAAAATAACCCTGCATATAAATAATGATATACCGATATTACAATTTTGAAAAATACGAGTAAATAAGGCTTCTACTTTTATTAGGAATTATCACAAACTGAATGTGATTTATGGGCAACAACTACGCGTACGCGCGCTTCTCTGTACGTGATTCAATTCACAACGTTGTTTTCGACCGAGCTACCCCAACGATTTTGTGCATTAGATATTTATGAATGACAATCAGTTAAAATAATGCATTAACACGCATTCTGAATTTAAAAGATACAAAGGACAGGATGTTTGAGATTTTTTTAAATTAATTTATCTTTACCATTTGCCTGCCTATATTACTTATTCGGAACCTTCTTTGCAAATTTGGGCATATGTTGCAAAATAACCTTGTATTATTTTAAGCTTTTTTGAAAATCATTACGGTATATATTAGGGTATAACTTATGTATGTGTAACTTAAATACAAACCTTGACCAACAGTTGTTGCCGTAATAATGTCCGAGTGAGGTTTTCTCCACAGACTGCAAGCAACGCTCGGAGCATTAGCCTATATCGCCACGTGGCAGTTAAACAAGCATCCACTTCCTGACATTCACTAGCATTTTCTTCCAGTGTAATTCCCAAGAATTCATGGTTTGGCGCCTGTAATAAAAATACGCTTCTTTAATAATACATTTAAAATTAATAGGTCCCTCGAGCCAGATGTAAGTTAATCAGTATCTACATGTCGCGTTTAACAAACAAATACAAATATTATCAAAATTTTAAATTAATAAATTACAGATTTTTCTGTTTTCTTTTCATAGTCGCCACTTACGACTTCGATAGGAAAAAATGCATACATGAACTCTTTTATGTCGACATTGGTTAAAAAATCTGAAAACAACTAACCTGCGGTACATTTGGCAAGGAATGAACCAGTAACCAAAACAGCTTATGAGCAACAGCCGGTGCGGACATAGCACGGGACAGCAACAATTCTGAAACAGGTTTTAATAATATATACTTATATATCACTCTTCCTGTTTGTAATTTGGATTTAATTTCATTACTTTCTTTGGAGGATCAAACCTGAGGGCTAATAAGAAATACCTTACAGCCTGTACCTAAAAGCCTGTATACGGAAATATATGAATGTCTTACAGTTTGTCTCGGAACACGGCAGTGGGTGCTTTCGTTCAGCGGCAGAAATATGTAAGTGGGTACTAACAACTTAAAAGTTCCCAGGCTGAAAAGAAGCCCTAGAATAATAAAACGTCTGCAAATATGATAATATCTGCGATCTCAATAATTTTATAGAAAATGTTCATGTTCATGGATGTCCAAAACATACATTTTCGTAGTTGATTCTGGCGACAACATTAAATTTAAACCAATTTTTTCTTAACATCATGAGAAAAGAAAATGTCACAAGTTGTACATATTTTAGTAGCTATGACTACTAAAATATGTACAACTTGTGACATTTTAGCTTCAGCTTATCCACAGAAGAACAAGAAGATATAAATATTATATGGAAGCGTAATAACGACAAACCTGCAAGCGGGCTGGCCTCGTACGTCTCGTAGCGCAAGGCCTGCGTCAGCTGTGGCAGCACGCGTATCAACTCGTCGTCGGACATTCCGTTCAATAGATTTGCCGCTAACTTGCGTACTGCTAAATCTGGGAAACTTAAAAAAACATGCCAAAAATTATTTCTACTTATTTTCTTGCGCCAATCTTGGTTACAAATACTCAGTTTTTTTACGGGGACTTTAGCATTCTTATAAATTTAAAATATACATTTTACAAAAATTGAACTGTCGTTCACGGGAAATCGAGTCAGGAAAACTGAACTGCTTTATGTTCTTTTTAACAAAAAAAAGAAGAACAAACTGCTTCATGTTGTAATATTTTAATTTAGGCCTCGCCGAGCATCTCGTACATAGCACGGTTCTGTATGGTATTAATCATCCTTTAGTTGCTCCTTCGTTGGTTGTCCGAGATACTCTCACATGGATAATGCTGCTCCCCATCACCAATAGTTAAATTGTTAATGAGCATTTTTAGATAAATTTTCCGACATCAGTCTGTCAAACAGCAGGGTCCGTCGTATGCTGGTATGTTCGAAATTCCAATAAATATATCGATTAGAACAGTTAATCATAAATTTATTTACCACTAAATTTAGTAAAATATAAGTGAATAAATATAAAGTTAAAAGTTATTGGTGTAAAAATAGGGCCAATCCAACCCTCACTGTGTATTTGATACTACAGCCCTAACCTTCCTCTAATATTAACAAGGATTTTTATTGAACTCATGAAAGGTATAAAAATGGTTTACGTTCGTGCATACGTGCGTGTGTCGTAGATATTGAGTTTGAACACATGACATTTGATAGTAAAAGTGACACAAATTGAGATCAACCAGGAGAATTTATAATAAAAAACGTCTTTATTACTTGATAATGATGACGTCATCCTAGCCGATTTTGACCACGACAACAACTTCCGAACATTATTGGAAGCTATCAAATTGCACAAAGTAAATTATCTCGTAGTACCACAAACGTTTTCGCCAACAGTGGTTTTCAATTACCCGATGTAACATTTACGCGTTTTCAGTGGGAGACAGCCTTGGATAGTCATAGAAGGAGGAGGACAATTAGAATATCTATATTCAATCAGGGTATTTACAAATGATGACTCTAGCTAGGATTCGAACCCAGAATTTAGTAGCATTATCATCATTAATAGATTCGATCATCATACAGTCGGTTTTATCACGTACCAAGGTAACAGCAAATGCATGGCGTTCAAGGGCGAAGGTTTCGCCCACAGCTCAAGCAGCGATACCAGCTGCGCGCGGTGCTCCCCGTACCAGTTGGTGGCGGCCAGCAGGACCAGAGGTAATGCACCAGGTAATTCTACCAGGTATTGACGTTTCTCCCACATTACCTGATGTAAAGAAAAAGCACTGTTGCTAACCTCACTTCCTAGATGTGAATACATATTACATATGTAAGTATAATGTTTGCGACCACTTGTAATTCTGACAACTTCCTAATATAAAATCAAGAAATATATTATGAAAATTAACCAAAAATTAAATCCAAAATATTCTATGCAAAGAATTTTTATATTTATAATTTCAATAAAAAATGGGAAATACTATTGACATTGAATGGAAAGTAGCTGTGCTCCTTCTCCCCTCTCTCCTCTTCTCCTAATCTACAACTATGCTTGTCCCTATGTCTATTAAATAGACATATTATTTTTCCCGAAAAGAAGAAGAGGAGTTAACAATGTAATAGCCCGATAACGATAACAACTTTTAATTTCGTTCAAACAGTATGCGCTAGTGTGCTGCTATCTACTTTATCAAGTAACAAGGGTTTGAGCAGAAGCTTTTCAAGACCACAAGCTTTTAATGGCAGTTGGGGCTATGAGTGGCATTAAAAAAATTATCGTAGTACTATGTGAGTGATGAGCTTATCAAGTCTGCAGACCCTATTACTGTACAGGGTATTCATAGATGATACTACATTTACCTTTTAATGCCGTCCCGTGGCTGTCGTAAGAGGAAACAGAGGGAAATTGAAACAGGTCATGGGAAGCAGCATTTTCCTGATAACAACTCAAAATAATAAAAACAGCGGTTAACAACCCGTTCGCCAGGCGCACCGACTATGGTAAAATCCACGTTATGAGGCAACCTAAAGGGAAGGCATGTGTTCAGCAGTATGTTTTTATAGTCTGTAATGGATGGATGAATACAGGTCTTTTTAACTAAAAATAATTACTCTCGATTCCTATCTGTGAGCGATAGAATGAAGTAAATAATTAAAATTAAAAACTTACCTCCCTTCCCTCATTGGGCATTCTCTGATAAGCGCCCTGTTCTATTAAATGCAACAGTTGCGACTGGGTATGTCCGTCCAAAGAGTCGAATGACGGCAACTCTTCTTGCGAGATTTTTCTTTGTTTCTCTTCGTCGCCGTTCGTCCATTTAACACCCGTGCGTGTGTACAGTGGAATCTCTGAAAATTGTATGGTTCTCTAAGTTATGTTAAGATCTTTGTAAATTTATTAGCCAAATGCTGCCTCAGAAAGATTGTAATGTGTTTCGAGTATATGTTAAGCCTGGCGTCGACTACAGCAGAAATGCGTCGAATCGAAGCGAGTCGCATTTATTCCTAGCGCGTCCATCTCTAAAGAATCGAATTGAATTGTTCATTCATCGCAAATTCTTCATCAAAATAGGTTGTTTGCGTCATGGCCGAGCTGTCCATGACGCAAATCGTGTTAATGTGGATCTTTTTATTTATTTACTCTTTATTGTACACTAACAAACAAAACAAAACGAATACAGTTAAATCTAAAGTAGAAAATGTACAACAGGCGGTCTTATCACTCTGAAAGTGATCTCTTCCAGACAACCGTAGTGTAGAAAACTGATGCAAACAATAGTTAAAAATAGAGGGGGGCGTACAAAATAAAAATAAGAAAATACATACAAATAAAGATAAGTGAAGATTATGTATGATATCATATAATAGATTAAATTAAAAGAGTACGAAAAAAGAAAAGTAAAGTAATCTAATAGCGTTCTAAGTAATACGATTTAACAAGACTTTTGAAAGAATGAAGAGATTGAGCACGACGAATGTGGAGAGGTAAAGAGTTCCACAAACGTACAGCAGTTACAGGAAAGGATTTCTTATAAAAGGAGGAAGAGTGCGAAGGAGTAGAGAGGGCAAGATTGACAGAGGATCGAAGGAACCGATTATGGGTAAGGGAAAAATACTGGAAACGGTCTTTTAAATAATGAGGAGTGGAAGGATTAAACAGCACGCCATACAAAGTGGAGAGGATGTGAGTATTCCAGCGAAGGCGGATCGGAAGCCATTTGAGCTGTTTGCGAAATTCAGAGATATGATCATATTTGCGAAGCCCAAATATGAATTTAATACATAAATTTTGAATGCGCTCAAGCTTATTAAGCTGGTCCTCGGTAATGTCAAGATAGTAAATATCAGCATAGTCAAGGATAGGCAGAAGTAGAGACTGTGCGAGCGTAACTTTAGTTACTGTGGGTAGAAAATTACGTAATCTATGTAGAGACCTTAAAGCAGCAAACATTTTTCTACTAACCTCATTAACCTGTGAAGTCCAAGACATACAAGAGTCGAGATACAACCCCAGGTTTTTAACCTTGTTACTTAAGGGATTTGAGTGCAGTCTAGTAAAATAGGAGGTAGGGAAGACCAGTCAATTTTTCCAATTAATCTAGAACTACCGATGACAATGGCCTGAGATTTCTTAGGATTAATCGTTAAACCATAACGTTTACTCCAATTCGAAATACAAGTCAGATTAGCGTTAATAGTGTCAACTGTTTTAGACAAATCTTCAAGAGACGATTGAGCATAGATTTGGAGATCATCAGCATACAAGTGGTAGGAAGAGGAAAAATTATGACTTACTAGAGTTAATGAAAATTGCAAACAGGAGAGGAGACAACACGTCACCTTGTGGTACGCCAGCCGCTGCAGTAGTCCAGGTGGAATTAACATTTTGCACCTGAATGCGCTGTCGGCGACCAAACAAGTAACTTCGAAACCAGTCTACTACAGTTGGATATATGTTGAGAAAGCGCAGGATGCCCAACAAGATATCAAAATCTACTATATTAAATGAATTACTAAAATCAAGTAACGTAAGAATGGTAAGCTTTTGTTTCTCCATACCATACCGAATATCATCAGTGATTTGTAAAAGTGCAGAAGTCGTACTATGGCCAGGGCAGAAACCGGATTGAAAAGGATTTAAAAGATTATGTTTTAAAAGATAGGTGCTTCGGAAGAGGAACTACAAATGCATCTTTCCAAGTTGAAGGGAAAAAAGAAGAATTTAGTGAATTATTCAGGATGGAAGTGATCACAGGTGAAAGGAGACCAATGAGAGGGAAGACCATTTTCCGACTAATGCAGTCACTACCAATTGAATTTGAATGGATGGACATTATGGCTCTCATAACATCGCAACTGTTAAATTGACTAAAATTAAAAGCAGAGGTGTCCGGAGCGGGAGCTCTCATCTTAGGAATCTTCATGGTTAAACAATTCTGGATATTGTTGGACAAGTGATATCAATAGCTCTTTATTCATTTTTATTTAAACAAAAAGATTCTTATGAAAACGAAATAGAAATTAATAAAAATACTCTGGTGCGCATCTACTTCTCCGCGTCGACTGTGGCGCACCGAATTGAATCGAATCGCACCAACGAAGAAATTCGCCTGCCAAGCAATTCGCGCGGTCGATTCAATTCGGCGCGCCGCGACTCGTCGCTAATGGACGCAGTTTCATAGTTAATATATATAGGAGGCGACTTTCTACGATTCGATTCGACTTAGCTCGGCGAGCCTAGTGGACGCTTAGCCTTACATAATAATCTACTGCATATTTGTATATTGTGTATGAATTTTTGTGTCTTTCTTTGCGACCTTTTGTAGAATTTTGCTTCTCTGATTTTGAAATGTGGGTTTAAGAATGTTTAAGTGCAGATTTTCACAGGCTACATTTTGTAGCAATAATACCTATCAGACGTTTGCAAACTATGCCTGCTGCCTGTGCAAGTATTTGCGCGTGGGAGAGTCGGAGTGTGAGTGTGGGAGTGATGTGAATATTAGCGTGCGTGTCGGTCGGGCGGTGCGCTTGTGGGCGCATGTGGCGGCATGTATGCTGTGCCTGTGTACGGATGTACGGATGTACGCATGACGTACCGATGTTGATGACGGGGTGCGGCGCGGGCGGGTGGTGGAGCGCGTGCGGCGCGGGCCCCACGCGCCGGTCGCACGGCGCCGCCCACAGCGCCAACACGTAGTTGCTGCGTGCATGCTGTGCCTATGTACGGATGTACGGATGTACGGATGTACGCATGACGTACCGATGTTGATGACGGGGTGCGGCGCGGGCGGGTGGTGCAGCGCGTGCGGCGCGGGCCCCACGCGCCGGTCGCACGGCGCCGCCCACAGCGCCAACACGTAGTTGCTGCGTGCATGCTGTGCCTATGTACGGATGTACGGATGTACGCATGACGTACCGATGTTGATGACGGGGTGCGGCGCGGGCGGGTGGTGCAGCGCGTGCGGCGCGGGCCCCACGCGCCGGTCGCACGGCGCCGCCCACAGCGCCAACACGTAGTTGCTGCGTGCATGCTGTGCCTATGTACGGATGTACGGATGTACGCATGACGTACCGATGTTGATGACGGGGTGCGGCGCGGGCGGGTGGTGCAGCGCGTGCGGCGCGGGCCCCACGCGCCGGTCGCACGGCGCCGCCCACAGCGCCAACACGTAGTTGCTGCGTGCATGCTGTGCCTATGTACGGATGTACGGATGTACGCATGACGTACCGATGTTGATGACGGGGTGCGGCGCGGGCGGGTGGTGCAGCGCGTGCGGCGCGGGCCCCACGCGCCGGTCGCACGGCGCCGCCCACAGCGCCAACACGTAGTTGCTGCGTGCATGCTGTGCCTATGTACGGATGTACGGATGTACGCATGACGTACCGATGTTGATGACGGGGTGCGGCGCGGGCGGGTGGTGCAGCGCGTGCGGCGCGGGCCCCACGCGCCGGTCGCACGGCGCCGCCCACAGCGCCAACACGTAGTTGCTGCGTGCATGCTGTGCCTATGTACGGATGTACGGATGTACGCATGACGTACCGATGTTGATGACGGGGTGCGGCGCGGGCGGGTGGTGCAGCGCGTGCGGCGCGGGCCCCACGCGCCGGTCGCACGGCGCCGCCCACAGCGCCAACACGTAGTTGCTGCGTGCATGCTGTGCCTATGTACGGATGTACGGATGTACGCATGACGTACCGATGTTGATGACGGGGTGCGGCGCGGGCGGGTGGTGCAGCGCGTGCGGCGCGGGCCCCACGCGCCGGTCGCACGGCGCCGCCCACAGCGCCAACACGTAGTTGCTGCGTGCATGCTGTGCCTATGTACGGATGTACGGATGTACGCATGACGTACCGATGTTGATGACGGGGTGCGGCGCGGGCGGGTGGTGCAGCGCGTGCGGCGCGGGCCCCACGCGCCGGTCGCACGGCGCCGCCCACAGCGCCAACACGTAGTTGCTGCGTGCATGCTGTGCCTATGTACGGATGTACGGATGTACGCATGACGTACCGATGTTGATGACGGGGTGCGGCGCGGGCGGGTGGTGCAGCGCGTGCGGCGCGGGCCCCACGCGCCGGTCGCACGGCGCCGCCCACAGCGCCAACACGTAGTTGCTGCGTGCATGCTGTGCCTATGTACGGATGTACGGATGTACGCATGACGTACCGATGTTGATGACGGGGTGCGGCGCGGGCGGGTGGTGCAGCGCGTGCGGCGCGGGCCCCACGCGCCGGTCGCACGGCGCCGCCCACAGCGCCAACACGTAGTTGCTGCGTGCATGCTGTGCCTATGTACGGATGTACGGATGTACGCATGACGTACCGATGTTGATGACGGGGTGCGGCGCGGGCGGGTGGTGCAGCGCGTGCGGCGCGGGCCCCACGCGCCGGTCGCACGGCGCCGCCCACAGCGCCAACACGTAGTTGCTGCGTGCATGCTGTGCCTATGTACGGATGTACGGATGTACGCATGACGTACCGATGTTGATGACGGGGTGCGGCGCGGGCGGGTGGTGCAGCGCGTGCGGCGCGGGCCCCACGCGCCGGTCGCACGGCGCCGCCCACAGCGCCAACACGTAGTTGCTGCGTGCATGCTGTGCCTATGTACGGATGTACGGATGTACGCATGACGTACCGATGTTGATGACGGGGTGCGGCGCGGGCGGGTGGTGCAGCGCGTGCGGCGCGGGCCCCACGCGCCGGTCGCACGGCGCCGCCCACAGCGCCAACACGTAGTTGCTGCGTGCATGCTGTGCCTATGTACGGATGTACGGATGTACGCATGACGTACCGATGTTGATGACGGGGTGCGGCGCGGGCGGGTGGTGCAGCGCGTGCGGCGCGGGCCCCACGCGCCGGTCGCACGGCGCCGCCCACAGCGCCAACACGTAGTTGCTGCGTGCATGCTGTGCCTATGTACGGATGTACGGATGTACGGATGTACGCATGACGTACCGATGTTGATGACGGGGTGCGGCGCGGGCGGGTGGTGCAGCGCGTGCGGCGCGGGCCCCACGCGCCGGTCGCACGGCGCCGCCCACAGCGCCAACACGTAGTTGCTGCGTGCATGCTGTGCCTATGTACGGATGTACGGATGTACGGATGTACGCATGACGTACCGATGTTGATGACGGGGTGCGGCGCGGGCGGGTGGTGCAGCGCGTGCGGCGCGGGCCCCACGCGCCGGTCGCACGGCGCCGCCCACAGCGCCAACACGTAGTTGCTGCGTGCATGCTGTGCCTATGTACGGATGTACGGATGTACGGATGTACGCATGACGTACCGATGTTGATGACGGGGTGCGGCGCGGGCGGGTGGTGCAGCGCGTGCGGCGCGGGCCCCACGCGCCGGTCGCACGGCGCCGCCCACAGCGCCAACACGTAGTTGCTGCGTGCATGCTGTGCCTATGTACGGATGTACGGATGTACGGATGTACGCATGACGTACCGATGTTGATGACGGGGTGCGGCGCGGGCGGGTGGTGCAGCGCGTGCGGCGCGGGCCCCACGCGCCGGTCGCACGGCGCCGCCCACAGCGCCAACACGTAGTTGCTGCGTGCATGCTGTGCCTATGTACGGATGTACGGATGTACGGATGTACGCATGACGTACCGATGTTGATGACGGGGTGCGGCGCGGGCGGGTGGTGCAGCGCGTGCGGCGCGGGCCCCACGCGCCGGTCGCACGGCGCCGCCCACAGCGCCAACACGTAGTTGCTGCGTGCATGCTGTGCCTATGTACGGATGTACGGATGTACGCATGACGTACCGATGTTGATGACGGGGTGCGGCGCGGGCGGGTGGTGCAGCGCGTGCGGCGCGGGCCCCACGCGCCGGTCGCACGGCGCCGCCCACAGCGCCAACACGTAGTTGCTGCGTGCATGCTGTGCCTATGTACGGATGTACGGATGTACGCATGACGTACCGATGTTGATGACGGGGTGCGGCGCGGGCGGGTGGTGCAGCGCGTGCGGCGCGGGCCCCACGCGCCGGTCGCACGGCGCCGCCCACAGCGCCAACACGTAGTTGCTGCGTGCATGCTGTGCCTATGTACGGATGTACGGATGTACGGATGTACGCATGACGTACCGATGTTGATGACGGGGTGCGGCGCGGGCGGGTGGTGCAGCGCGTGCGGCGCGGGCCCCACGCGCCGGTCGCACGGCGCCGCCCACAGCGCCAACACGTAGTTGCTGCGTGCATGCTGTGCCTATGTACGGATGTACGGATGTACGGATGTACGCATGACGTACCGATGTTGATGACGGGGTGCGGCGCGGGCGGGTGGTGCAGCGCGTGCGGCGCGGGCCCCACGCGCCGGTCGCACGGCGCCGCCCACAGCGCCAACACGTAGTTGCTGCGTGCATGCTGTGCCTATGTACGGATGTACGGATGTACGGATGTACGCATGACGTACCGATGTTGATGACGGGGTGCGGCGCGGGCGGGTGGTGCAGCGCGTGCGGCGCGGGCCCCACGCGCCGGTCGCACGGCGCCGCCCACAGCGCCAACACGTAGTTGCTGCGTGCATGCTGTGCCTATGTACGGATGTACGGATGTACGCATGACGTACCGATGTTGATGACGGGGTGCGGCGCGGGCGGGTGGTGCAGCGCGTGCGGCGCGGGCCCCACGCGCCGGTCGCACGGCGCCGCCCACAGCGCCAACACGTAGTTGCTGCGTGCATGCTGTGCCTATGTACGGATGTACGGATGTACGCATGACGTACCGATGTTGATGACGGGGTGCGGCGCGGGCGGGTGGTGCAGCGCGTGCGGCGCGGGCCCCACGCGCCGGTCGCACGGCGCCGCCCACAGCGCCAACACGTAGTTGCTGCGTGCATGCTGTGCCTATGTACGGATGTACGGATGTACGCATGACGTACCGATGTTGATGACGGGGTGCGGCGCGGGCGGGTGGTGCAGCGCGTGCGGCGCGGGCCCCACGCGCCGGTCGCACGGCGCCGCCCACAGCGCCAACACGTAGTTGCTGCGTGCATGCTGTGCCTATGTACGGATGTACGGATGTACGCATGACGTACCGATGTTGATGACGGGGTGCGGCGCGGGCGGGTGGTGCAGCGCGTGCGGCGCGGGCCCCACGCGCCGGTCGCACGGCGCCGCCCACAGCGCCAACACGTAGTTGCTGCGTGCATGCTGTGCCTATGTACGGATGTACGGATGTACGGATGTACGCATGACGTACCGATGTTGATGACGGGGTGCGGCGCGGGCGGGTGGTGCAGCGCGTGCGGCGCGGGCCCCACGCGCCGGTCGCACGGCGCCGCCCACAGCGCCAACACGTAGTTGCTGCGTGCATGCTGTGCCTATGTACGGATGTACGGATGTACGGATGTACGCATGACGTACCGATGTTGATGACGGGGTGCGGCGCGGGCGGGTGGTGCAGCGCGTGCGGCGCGGGCCCCACGCGCCGGTCGCACGGCGCCGCCCACAGCGCCAACACGTAGTTGCTGCGTGCATGCTGTGCCTATGTACGGATGTACGGATGTACGCATGACGTACCGATGTTGATGACGGGGTGCGGCGCGGGCGGGTGGTGCAGCGCGTGCGGCGCGGGCCCCACGCGCCGGTCGCACGGCGCCGCCCACAGCGCCAACACGTAGTTGCTGCGTGCATGCTGTGCCTATGTACGGATGTACGGATGTACGGATGTACGCATGACGTACCGATGTTGATGACGGGGTGCGGCGCGGGCGGGTGGTGCAGCGCGTGCGGCGCGGGCCCCACGCGCCGGTCGCACGGCGCCGCCCACAGCGCCAACACGTAGTTGCTGCGTGCATGCTGTGCCTATGTACGGATGTACGGATGTACGGATGTACGCATGACGTACCGATGTTGATGACGGGGTGCGGCGCGGGCGGGTGGTGCAGCGCGTGCGGCGCGGGCCCCACGCGCCGGTCGCACGGCGCCGCCCACAGCGCCAACACGTAGTTGCTGCGTGCATGCTGTGCCTATGTACGGATGTACGGATGTACGCATGACGTACCGATGTTGATGACGGGGTGCGGCGCGGGCGGGTGGTGCAGCGCGTGCGGCGCGGGCCCCACGCGCCGGTCGCACGGCGCCGCCCACAGCGCCAACACGTAGTTGCTGCGTGCATGCTGTGCCTATGTACGGATGTACGGATGTACGGATGTACGCATGACGTACCGATGTTGATGACGGGGTGCGGCGCGGGCGGGTGGTGCAGCGCGTGCGGCGCGGGCCCCACGCGCCGGTCGCACGGCGCCGCCCACAGCGCCAACACGTAGTTGCTGCGTGCATGCTGTGCCTATGTACGGATGTACGGATGTACGGATGTACGCATGACGTACCGATGTTGATGACGGGGTGCGGCGCGGGCGGGTGGTGCAGCGCGTGCGGCGCGGGCCCCACGCGCCGGTCGCACGGCGCCGCCCACAGCGCCAACACGTAGTTGCTGCGTGCATGCTGTGCCTATGTACGGATGTACGGATGTACGCATGACGTACCGATGTTGATGACGGGGTGCGGCGCGGGCGGGTGGTGCAGCGCGTGCGGCGCGGGCCCCACGCGCCGGTCGCACGGCGCCGCCCACAGCGCCAACACGTAGTTGCTGCGTGCATGCTGTGCCTATGTACGGATGTACGGATGTACGCATGACGTACCGATGTTGATGACGGGGTGCGGCGCGGGCGGGTGGTGCAGCGCGTGCGGCGCGGGCCCCACGCGCCGGTCGCACGGCGCCGCCCACAGCGCCAACACGTAGTTGCTGCGTGCATGCTGTGCCTATGTACGGATGTACGGATGTACGGATGTACGCATGACGTACCGATGTTGATGACGGGGTGCGGCGCGGGCGGGTGGTGCAGCGCGTGCGGCGCGGGCCCCACGCGCCGGTCGCACGGCGCCGCCCACAGCGCCAACACGTAGTTGCTGCGTGCATGCTGTGCCTATGTACGGATGTACGGATGTACGGATGTACGCATGACGTACCGATGTTGATGACGGGGTGCGGCGCGGGCGGGTGGTGCAGCGCGTGCGGCGCGGGCCCCACGCGCCGGTCGCACGGCGCCGCCCACAGCGCCAACACGTAGTTGCCGCCCGCCAGCATGCTGCACGCAACAACCCACTGCTCAATTAATCTATCTATTTATATGTGATGGGCAAACTTTGTTCCCCCATTTTAAGCATATTGCGCGCACGGACGAGTATGAGATTTGGCGTAGTTTACATGGAGAAGAAGTGCGAAAATCTAAATTTTATGTTATGTTACAAATACATTAAATTGAATTAAATATAACATTCATTGTTTACGTCCGTACAAAGTAAAATTAAAAATACGACACCTTAAAAAAAGTTTAAATACTGAATTATTATAAGATAGCCGAGTAAATTTAATTTGTTATACTTTATTACCTTGTGGATATTGTGAGGGCCGTAAGGTTGAAAATGACAGAGAAATTGCAAAAATCTTTTTAAGATCAAATACATAAATAAAAACTCTTTTATATCGTTAAAATATAGAAACTAATATAACTTACTGTTCGCGCAAAACGCTGTTGTCGGAATCGACGTCTAGGGAGCGCGCGGCTCTGGGCGATACCGGTTTGAAGTTCTTCCGAGCGTGGCAGTGGCGCGCGGGTCGCGAGTGAAAAGTCAGTCGTCCTTAGACAGTGCTCACGATTGGCACTCTGCCAATTAAGCGCGGGAACTCGGAATAATTAAGCGCGGACAGTAAAAATACGGTCTAGGAATTTTGTGGCGCGTATCCCTACTGGAGAGCTTCCCCGGGACTTATTGGGTCCGACTCAGAATCTGTATAAGTGCATTCGACAATATTAGCTAGTGCGGCCTCTGTATTCTAGAACTAACTGTTGCAACGCGAAACGGTAATGACCTTTGATCCAGAAACTCCGTGCGTGTTTTGTGCGGTAACTTTATACCCCGCGATAGTTAGTGGCTTCTGTAAGCTAGTTAATCGTACGATAGAGTTAAGTGACTGTCATCGTGACGAACAAAGAAAGTGACGGTGGTCCGGCGCCGAAGCAGTCTGAAGCAGTGTGGCAGCATTTTGGAGCAGCCTGGAACTCGGCAGCAGCTGGTCGCCTATGCTTGACAAGGCCACACACATTCACCCCTCACTGTACACTACTCTCCATCCACTATTACACACACTCACGGCCTGCCCAAGCCTTGGTGCGAAGTTAGCTTCGGATAATGGTAAGTACTATGTCCTTCTAACGTCCTCCCATCTGGTTTAATGAAATTAGGAATTTCCAAGTGGCCACATTGAGGCCCGACCTACGTTTGCTCGGGAAGTTTTCTGCTCATGGGCCCCAGAGGATAGGATCCTTTAAGGGAGCAGCCGTAGGCCGTAACAAACTGGTAGCAGAGCGCGGTTCCGGGTTCGATTCCCCGGTCGATCCCGACCATAGTGTTTGATAAAAATTAAACAAATCTGGCGGCAGGGAGCGTTGGTTTGATTGGTTTAATTTGTATCTACAATCACGCCCGTCCGTAATACGTAAAAATATTTTTTTGTACGTAATAATAGAATTATTTCCCTTTGTTGTTTGTTGCTTGCCTTTTTTTTGGTTAGTAGGTAGTTTGAAAAGCCGCGCCCTAGGTTGCGCAAGCGGGAGTTTTTCTAGAGATATACGTCATGTAGGTAGATGGTTATTTTTACGTAATCGGTTAATTATCGTTGTCGGATAGTTGTAGTGGATTACTTATCGAAGGTTCGATTTCCGAGCTAGGCATTTTTTGTTGAACGACCGTGATGTGTATCTTCGTTTATACTGTAATTTGTATTTGAACTAAAGAGTAGTAATTGTATTTGCGCAATTTGAATTTAACTTGATTTGATCGCACTAGTATTTGTTATTTGTCAATTTGATTTGTGTCTTTTCTTTTGTGCTAACTTGTATTTGGTTGATACGTAGTAATTCGTATTTGTGTAATTTCTATTCAACGCGATTTGATAGGAACTGCATTTATTAACTGTTAATTTTTGTTGTAATTTTTGTTTGTTATCTTTGTAATCTGTGCTCAAGCCGCGTCGTAATTTGTATTTAATAGTGATGACATCGCCCAAGCTACTGATCCGATGTTTGCGGACTGAGCTACGCTGGGCCACAAGCGCCCATGCTTTGATAGGTCGACCGGATAGGGTCCATAACTTGATGAAGCGGTTCGAGCAGGTGGATGCTCGAAGGGCCGTAGTGGAGGAGGCTTACGCTGAGCTCGAGGATTCGGATGTGGAGAAGGGAGTCCAGGACTCCTGCTTCGCGGACTATGAGCAGTTCTTGTGGCTCACGGACGAGTTGATCGAGGCTGAAGGCAGGTATGCCGAGGAGGCGCGTGAAGCTCGGATGAGTGACCTGTCCGAGTCCCCTCTGAAGCAGCTTCAGCCGGAGCTGTTGGGACGACTCCCAACTCTGGACGACTCCCAACTCTGGACCTGCCAAAGTTCTCCGGGGTCCTTTCCGAATGGCTGACCTTCGTTGGTCTTTTCGACAGCCTAGAGGACGCCCGGAGTGACTTGACCCCGAGCCAAAAGATGGTGTACCTCCTGGCCTCACTGGAGGGGGAGGCCCTGGGCGTCGTCGGCCACTTGAGATTGTCGGACGACGCCTACCAGACTGCTCGGGACCTCCTAGCCAGAAGATACGCCAACGTCCGGCGAATTGCGGACGAACATATTAAGCAGCTTCTAAGCCTCCCGCTGCTTAGTGACCGGGCCAGACTGCGTCCGGACCTGTTGGATCCAGTCTTGGTGGCCTGTAATACGTTGAGGCGGCTGGGTTTACCAGTGGGCGAATGGGCTTTTTTGTTGCTCCGCATCGTGCTGTCCCGTCTACCTCTCGACCTTCGAATCCATTTTGAGGAGAGGTACGGCGGGGACGAGGCCTCCTATATTCCGCCCTTCTATGACCTGCTGCGGTTTTTGGAGGAGCAGTGCCGGCAGATAGAGAGCGCGGCGGGCACGGTTGACGACTTACGAGCCGTGCCCAGTGAGAGGCTGAATCCTCCAGGCAAGTCGTCGTCAACCCCCCCCCCCCTGCTCCTATTGTCGAGCATCTGATCATCGGGTAACATCGTGCCCGAAATTATTAGGTAAGCCGGTTCCAGCGAGGCGAACTATCGCCAAGGAGCGCCGCTGGTGCTGCTCATGTTAGGGAGGACACCTCCAGCGAGACTGTCCGCATCGGCGGCCCTGTCTGCATTGCAAGGGCAATCATCATGCCGTTTTGTGCCTGAGTGCGAACGGCGTCTCCTCTCGGGGCTCTGCCAGGCCCTCGACCCCCACGGGCGGAGGCACTAAGCCACGCCCTCTGCCGGGCGACTCTCGGCGCCCGCCGGCCAGCCATCAGGCCCCTAAGTTTGAAAGGGGTCCCTCCCCCGACCAGTCGGGGGGTAATTCCCCCAGGGGCGGGGGTGACATCACCCCCCCTAAGCGTGTGGAGAGGAACTTCACGGCCACTCATCGGTCCGCTGGACCCTTCTCACTCCCGTTAGCTGAGTGGCCGCGACTGGTGGACCACTGTTCCCCATTTGATGGAGGCGGCCCTGGCTAGCTGCCGCCTTAGCTCCCACCACGGCCACCTCCACTGAGCCTTAAGCCGTCAACAGTCCACTTGTCAAAATGTTCTGTTGCCGACGGTCTCAGTGAAGGCGTACAACCCGAGTGGCGACTGTTAGCGATCTCGGGTTTACGCCATGTGGCCTCTCCTTGGTGGTGGGAAGATCAGGGCCTCTCTGGAGCGTTGAATCACGCTGTCAAGGGGTATTAGATTTGGTTTGGTCGACCACTTAGTCAAAAAATACTTGAATTAAAATTAAAAATTGCTTTGGGCTTTCCGCGAAATTTTCCTATTTGTAGCGGTTTAAATTAAAAGAATTGAATTTAATCTACTCCTTTAAATGCTACTGCATGTGTTTTGTACATATATTGAATCACTGTATTTGATTGTTGCGTCTGTTTGCTGAAAGGAAATTGAATGGCGCCCTATTTGAAAAATTATGTAACATATACATAGATAGTGTTTAATCATTTTGCTTTGCGAAGAAGTAGGGCTGTCCCTTACGTTATTGTTTTGTTTAATTTGCAAGTTGACCTATGCGCATCGGTGATTAATTTGTTTGAATTAATTCTGTAGTTGAACATTGATGATTTTGAAAAATTAGTTGAAATATGAGCATAGGACTACTTGCCTAACAGGCTAGCTAGTTTTGGAGATTATCAGATTGAAATCAGCTGCCGCACTATTTTAGTAAATGATAATATGGTGGGTGGCCTGGCTAGGCCTACTTGTTGAAAATTCATACTAGGGACTATCTGTGCGTTTCGTTTGGCTCTCCACAGACGACGTTCATGTGGAATTTGTGGGTGCGCTCTGCACTGAAGCAACTGCTGGCACAAAATTTGTCTGGGCAGCTTCGTGTAGCGTCGCTGTTTGCAGAGCTGATCCGGTCGGATTGCGGAACTAATCATAGGGGCACAGATAGGTGTTTGAAAGAGGTCGTCGGACTTCTGTCCAGTAGAGGACTTATTAAAGTGCTGTGATGCCCAGGAGGGGCATCCAGTGGAGGCTGACCCTCCGGCTTGCCACATTAGGGCTATCTTTTGTGGCGTTGGTTAGGGTTGCAAGATCTGAGGGGTTGCCTAAGGTGGCCTAGTTTGGTTGTAGATTCAGTCTTGCAACTTGCAGTCTCGACCTTGTCCCGCTGACCGGTTTGCTCGCGGACCTAAATCCTTATGTCCGGGACGGGGGTTTGTTCGCGCAAAACGCTGTTGTCGGAATCGACGTCTAGGGGGCGCGCGGCTCTGGGCGATACCGGTTTGAAGTTCTTCCGAGCGTGGCAGTGGCGCGCGGGTCGCGAGTGAAAAGTCAGTCGTCCTTAGACAGTGCTCACGATTGGCACTCTGTCATTTAGTCGTCCTTAAGCGGTGCTAACGATTGGCACGCTGCCAATTAAGTCTGCCAGGAAGTCTTCTGCTCATGGGCCCCAGAGGATAGGATCCTTTAAGGGAGCAGCCGTAGGCCGTAACACTTACCAATCATAATCGAACATTTGTATAGAAGCCCAGCCAAGCTCAACTTGTTCATACTGCACGTCGCCGTTCTCTTCATTGCTTTCGTTATTCTGCTGGTTGTTCTCATTGATTTGATGCTGATTGTCCACAGTTCTTTGAGTTCGACCATAAAGAGTCAGTACTAAACGTGATTCTCGTGGCAAAGTATTAATTGGGATATCTTCTAGATTTAACCTACAAGAAAAAATATCTTAATTATAATATGGATTACTCCGCCTAATTAAGTACATGAAGTATAGGGACAAACTACACCTGATGGCAAAATCTTACAAAGATTTGGTAGCATCTAAAAAATATTACATTTATATCCAAACAACATGAATCTTCAACAGAATTGTTACAAAACCATTCCTCGCTCCCCGTGTCAGCAAATACAGCAAATAATTACTTTGTGAACGGAAATTTTGCTAAGCAGATAATAAACAATTCTAACAATATATATGGAAACAGGGCCAAATCACAGAAACTGCCAATAAAGGTCGTACGCAATATTAGATACGGACGTTACTAGAAAGACTCATATTGTGACTGAAAAATGCGGGCGCGGTTGGATGGGACGAAATATCCATTAGTGTATTAAGAAAATTTAGACAAATTTTTAGTACCATTATTAACCAAAAAAAATTGTCTCTGAAGGGATTTTCCCAAATAGTCCGAAAAACTATTGTAGTTCCAGTATACCGAATGACGATGAAGTTATCACGTTAAATAAAAACACGTATCCTACACAAAGTACTTTAAACATACACAACTAAAAAAAATATATAACAATTAACATTCTAGTCGCGGTAGCATTTTTTTCGTTTTAATATTAAACAACATCATGTAAATGCATACAGATATTACCTGATGAATACTAGGTCAAAGACCCATGGCCCGTGAAGGCCATTTTGATGACCTTCACGGGTCATCAAAATGGTTACCTAGTTCAAACTTTGCCAATCCGAATTACTCAAATAAAGTAAAAAAAATCAAGAAAAAATATACTTATGGCTAACAATTCAAGGCATAATTCTTTATGCGCGAAATTAAAAACAAAGGGACCGCGCGCTGCGGGTGTGAGAAAATTAATTCAAGCGAAAAATTTACTTAAAATAAATGACTTAAGGCATAATTCTCTATGCGCGGAGTGACAAGAAATGGGACGGGGTGTCGGGAGGGTGCGTGTTGGCCGTCTGCTTTCTGAATAGTTGTCAACAACCAATCAGAAGCCAAGTGACTAAAAAGAGTGCAAGTTTGTTCCTAAGAGTAATCATTCTTTGCTGTAATCTACCTGCGTTATGTAAAAGACCCTTTTATCATTATTATTCATTGACTTCACCGGGATATTATTACCTGTTTGGATAGCTGATTAAATGGGCATGTTTTATAATTTATTTTTATGTCTCATGTCATAGTAATTATTCGCTTGGTTGAATCTTCAAGAAAATAAATAAACTTAAAAGAAAGCACAGAAAATTTTTAATTTTTATTTAGAATTTAATACGAAATTCTAGGTGATTTTTGAAATATCTTTAAAATCCGTATATCTCAAGACCTATTCATTTTTGGCGATACATATGGGGGGAGGGGGTCAAATTTTTGTAGCATTTTGTCTCCTCTATCACGCCCTAACAGGAAGTTATCGAGTTCCCAGTAACCCTGTATATATAAATTGATAAAAATTGATCTATTTGGTTTACTTCACATTTACGCTACTTTATATGAAGTTTATATAATAGGCCTCCCCCATATATTGCTTAGTAATGGGCAATATCCCGAATATTTGCCACAGTTGTCACGCTCGATAACCAAATTTTTTAGTTGTTATTAGGAAGACGCTGCTTCCTATCCCTAACTTTTTCCCCTCTGTCGCTTCTTACGACAGCTACAGTACGATATGAAATGGTGGATATTCTTACACCGCCACTACACAGTGAACTCTACACCTTCAGAACTAAATCTTCGTTATAACCACAAACACCACTTACCAAGTATCAAAAATTATTCTGGGATAAAAGCCACCACACTCTATCTTGGAAGATTGCGTTGCGTGCACAGTTTTCAAAGGCCTCGTGCCGTAGTATATTTGAGCGTGAAACAGATACTCGTCGTGATTCCAGCATAGGGGCAAGCAATGGACTGCCTCGATGCAGAATAACACTGTTTCAGATATTGTGTGCGCTGGGGCTGCTTCTGTGATCAAAGAAACAATTAAATTCTTAATGTAAGACAACCTTTGTTAGTCTTAACTTCTTAGGGTGTCCGCACCTTTATCGACGCGGAATCGGCTTCAGCCGGTCAGAAAAATCTTTACGTCAACGAAATACGGATGTTGCTAATGTCATTCTCATCGGCTTGGCTCGGAGGACGCGTCGCGACGTCGACCGACGGCAAAACGAGCAGTTCGCCAATTAGCTGATCCCATCCGTACGGCGTTGAAAGGCGATTCACGTCGACGTGTTAAGTTTGCGTCGGCATCCCAACGGCGTTGAAATGATCCTCTCGCATGATTTCATTTGCAACGGCTGCCGAACGGCGCAGAAGACGACCGAGCAGCGTTGGACAACTTTCGAATGATGAACGATGAGTCAACTTCCGAACGTAAAAAAACAGCTGTCGCTACAGACGTTCTGGGGAATCGACTGCCGAATGCAAGTGAACAGCCGTCGCGAGGGCTTTTCGAAGGAGCCGACCGCCGATCGCTTGAAAATGTAAAATTTGTATGATGTATCAATTGTAAATATAAATATCCGTAGCTGATCGGCATTAAGCCGAGTAGTGTGCTGATACGCACTCGGCTTAAGCCGATTACGCATCGATAGATGTGGTGACTCCCTAGTTTTAAAAATATTGTGTGATTCTCATGTGCGATAATGTCGATGAATTACGAACACCAAAACCGAACGCTTTACGTGCTATTAATGGGCGACTATGAAAATTTTTGTTCGAAACACTCATAGCAACTCATTAATTACAATAAAACTGTGCCCGTACTGTACAGTGCCAGCTACGCGCGCACTGTGCACTGTGCCTCTGTGCCCGTACTATACAGCGCCAGCAGCGCGCGCACTGTGCCACTGTGCCACTGTGCCCGTACTGTACTCACTGTGCGGCTGCGACGGCACGGCGGCGGGCGCGTCGGCCAGGCTGAAGTCCAGTAGGCGCGCGCGCGTGTACAGCGCCAGCAGCGCGCGCACTGTGCCACTGTGCCACTGTGCCCGTACTGTACTCACTGTGCGGCTGCGACGGCACGGCGGCGGGCGCGTCGGCCAGGCTGAAGTCCAGCAGGCGCGCGCGCGTGTACAGCGCCAGCAGCGCGCGCACTGTGCCACTGTGCCCGTACTGTACTCACTGTGCGGCTGCGACGGCACGGCGGCGGGCGCGTCGGCCAGGCTGAAGTCCAGCAGGCGCGCGCGCGTGTACAGCGCCAGCAGCGCGCGCACTGTGCCACTGTGCCCGTACTGTACTCACTGTGCGGCTGCGACGGCACGGCGGCGGGCGCGTCGGCCAGGCTGAAGTCCAGCAGGCGCGCGCGCGTGTACAGCGCCAGCAGCGCGCGCACTGTGCCACTGTGCCCGTACTGTACTCACTGTGCGGCTGCGACGGCACGGCGGCGGGCGCGTCGGCCAGGCTGAAGTCCAGCAGGCGCGCGCGCGTGTACAGCGCCAGCAGCGCGCGCACTGTGCCACTGTGCCCGTACTGTACTCACTGTGCGGCTGCGACGGCACGGCGGCGGGCGCGTCGGCCAGGCTGAAGTCCAGTAGGCGCGCGCGCGTGTACAGCGCCAGCAGCGCGCGCACTGTGCCACTGTGCCCGTACTGTACTCACTGTGCGGCTGCGACGGCACGGCGGCGGGCGCGTCGGCCAGGCTGAAGTCCAGCAGGCGCGCGCGCGTGTACAGCGCCAGCAGCGCGCGCACTGTGCCACTGTGCCCGTACTGTACTCACTGTGCGGCTGCGACGGCACGGCGGCGGGCGCGTCGGCCAGGCTGAAGTCCAGCAGGCGCGCGCGCGTGTACAGCGCCAGCAGCGCGCGCACTGTGCCACTGTGCCCGTACTGTACTCACTGTGCGGCTGCGACGGCACGGCGGCGGGCGCGTCGGCCAGGCTGAAGTCCAGCAGGCGCGCGCGCGTGTACAGCGCCAGCAGCGCGCGCACTGTGCCACTGTGCCCGTACTGTACTCACTGTGCGGCTGCGACGGCACGGCGGCGGGCGCGTCGGCCAGGCTGAAGTCCAGTAGGCGCGCGCGCGTGTACAGCGCCAGCAGCGCGCGCACTGTGCCACTGTGCCCGTACTGTACTCACTGTGCGGCTGCGACGGCACGGCGGCGGGCGCGTCGGCCAGGCTGAAGTCCAGCAGGCGCGCGCGCGTGTACAGCGCCAGCAGCGCGCGCACTGTGCCACTGTGCCCGTACTGTACTCACTGTGCGGCTGCGACGGCACGGCGGCGGGCGCGTCGGCCAGGCTGAAGTCCAGTAGGCGCGCGCGCGTGTACAGCGCCAGCAGCGCGCGCACTGTGCCACTGTGCCCGTACTGTACTCACTGTGCGGCTGCGACGGCACGGCGGCGGGCGCGTCGGCCAGGCTGAAGTCCAGCAGGCGCGCGCGCGTGTACAGCGCCAGCAGCGCGCGCACTGTGCCACTGTGCCCGTACTGTACTCACTGTGCGGCTGCGACGGCACGGCGGCGGGCGCGTCGGCCAGGCTGAAGTCCAGTAGGCGCGCGCGGGTGTACAGCGCCAGCAGCGCGCGCACTGTGCCACTGTGCCCGTACTGTACTCACTGTGCGGCTGCGACGGCACGGCGGCGGGCGCGTCGGCCAGGCTGAAGTCCAGCAGGCGCGCGCGCGTGTACAGCGCCAGCAGCGCGCGCACTGTGCCACTGTGCCCGTACTGTACTCACTGTGCGGCTGCGACGGCACGGCGGCGGGCGCGTCGGCCAGGCTGAAGTCCAGTAGGCGCGCGCGCGTGTACAGCGCCAGCAGCGCGCGCACTGTGCCACTGTGCCCGTACTGTACTCACTGTGCGGCTGCGACGGCACGGCGGCGGGCGCGTCGGCCAGGCTGAAGTCCAGCAGGCGCGCGCGCGTGTACAGCGCCAGCAGCGCGCGCACTGTGCCACTGTGCCCGTACTGTACTCACTGTGCGGCTGCGACGGCACGGCGGCGGGCGCGTCGGCCAGGCTGAAGTCCAGTAGGCGCGCGCGCGTGTACAGCGCCAGCAGCGCGCGCACTGTGCCACTGTGCCCGTACTGTACTCACTGTGCGGCTGCGACGGCACGGCGGCGGGCGCGTCGGCCAGGCTGAAGTCCAGCAGGCGCGCGCGCGTGTACAGCGCCAGCAGCGCGCGCACTGTGCCACTGTGCCCGTACTGTACTCACTGTGCGGCTGCGACGGCACGGCGGCGGGCGCGTCGGCCAGGCTGAAGTCCAGTAGGCGCGCGCGGGTGTACAGCGCCAGCAGCGCGCGCACTGTGCCACTGTGCCCGTACTGTACTCACTGTGCGGCTGCGACGGCACGGCGGCGGGCGCGTTGGCCAGGCTGAAGTCCAGCAGGCGCGCGCGCGTGTACAGCGCCAGCAGCGCGCGCACTGTGCCACTGTGCCCGTACTGTACTCACTGTGCGGCTGCGACGGCACGGCGGCGGGCGCGTCGGCCAGGCTGAAGTCCAGTAGGCGCGCGCGCGTGTACAGCGCCAGCAGCGCGCGCACTGTGCCACTGTGCCCGTACTGTACTCACTGTGCGGCTGCGACGGCACGGCGGCGGGCGCGTCGGCCAGGCTGAAGTCCAGCAGGCGCGCGCGCGTGTACAGCGCCAGCAGCGCGCGCACTGTGCCACTGTGCCCGTACTGTACTCACTGTGCGGCTGCGACGGCACGGCGGCGGGCGCGTCGGCCAGGCTGAAGTCCAGTAGGCGCGCGCGGGTGTACAGCGCCAGCAGCGCGCGCACTGTGCCACTGTGCCCGTACTGTACTCACTGTGCGGCTGCGACGGCACGGCGGCGGGCGCGTCGGCCAGGCTGAAGTCCAGCAGGCGCGCGCGCGTGTACAGCGCCAGCAGCGCGCGCACTGTGCCACTGTGCCCGTACTGTACTCACTGTGCGGCTGCGACGGCACGGCGGCGGGCGCGTCGGCCAGGCTGAAGTCCAGCAGGCGCGCGCGCGTGTACAGCGCCAGCAGCGCGCGCACTGTGCCACTGTGCCCGTACTGTACTCACTGTGCGGCTGCGACGGCACGGCGGCGGGCGCGTCGGCCAGGCTGAAGTCCAGTAGGCGCGCGCGCGTGTACAGCGCCAGCAGCGCGCGCACTGTGCCACTGTGCCCGTACTGTACTCACTGTGCGGCTGCGACGGCACGGCGGCGGGCGCGTCGGCCAGGCTGAAGTCCAGCAGGCGCGCGCGCGTGTACAGCGCCAGCAGCGCGCGCACTGTGCCACTGTGCCCGTACTGTACTCACTGTGCGGCTGCGACGGCACGGCGGCGGGCGCGTCGGCCAGGCTGAAGTCCAGTAGGCGCGCGCGGGTGTACAGCGCCAGCAGCGCGCGCACTGTGCCACTGTGCCCGTACTGTACTCACTGTGCGGCTGCGACGGCACGGCGGCGGGCGCGTCGGCCAGGCTGAAGTCCAGCAGGCGCGCGCGCGTGTACAGCGCCAGCAGCGCGCGCACTGTGCCACTGTGCCCGTACTGTACTCACTGTGCGGCTGCGACGGCACGGCGGCGGGCGCGTCGGCCAGGCTGAAGTCCAGCAGGCGCGCGCGCGTGTACAGCGCCAGCAGCGCGCGCACTGTGCCACTGTGCCCGTACTGTACTCACTGTGCGGCTGCGACGGCACGGCGGCGGGCGCGTCGGCCAGGCTGAAGTCCAGCAGGCGCGCGCGCGTGTACAGCGCCAGCAGCGCGCGCACTGTGCCACTGTGCCCGTACTGTACTCACTGTGCGGCTGCGACGGCACGGCGGCGGGCGCGTCGGCCAGGCTGAAGTCCAGTAGGCGCGCGCGCGTGTACAGCGCCAGCAGCGCGCGCACTGTGCCACTGTGCCCGTACTGTACTCACTGTGCGGCTGCGACGGCACGGCGGCGGGCGCGTCGGCCAGGCTGAAGTCCAGTAGGCGCGCGCGCGTGTACAGCGCCAGCAGCGCGCGCACTGTGCCACTGTGCCCGTACTGTACTCACTGTGCGGCTGCGACGGCACGGCGGCGGGCGCGTCGGCCAGGCTGAAGTCCAGTAGGCGCGCGCGCGTGTACAGCGCCAGCAGCGCGCGCACTGTGCCACTGTGCCCGTACTGTACTCACTGTGCGGCTGCGACGGCACGGCGGCGGGCGCGTCGGCCAGGCTGAAGTCCAGTAGGCGCGCGCGCGTGTACAGCGCCAGCAGCGCGCGCACTGTGCCACTGTGCCCGTACTGTACTCACTGTGCGGCTGCGACGGCACGGCGGCGGGCGCGTCGGCCAGGCTGAAGTCCAGTAGGCGCGCGCGCGTGTACAGCGCCAGCAGCGCGCGCACTGTGCCACTGTGCCCGTACTGTACTCACTGTGCGGCTGCGACGGCACGGCGGCGGGCGCGTCGGCCAGGCTGAAGTCCAGCAGGCGCGCGCGCGTGTACAGCGCCAGCAGCGCGCGCACTGTGCCACTGTGCCCGTACTGTACTCACTGTGCGGCTGCGACGGCACGGCGGCGGGCGCGTCGGCCAGGCTGAAGTCCAGTAGGCGCGCGCGCGTGTACAGCGCCAGCAGCGCGCGCACTGTGCCACTGTGCCCGTACTGTACTCACTGTGCGGCTGCGACGGCACGGCGGCGGGCGCGTCGGCCAGGCTGAAGTCCAGTAGGCGCGCGCGCGTGTACAGCGCCAGCAGCGCGCGCACGGCGTCGCGCAGGCGCGCACACTGCTGCGCCACCGCCTCGCGCGCCGTGGCCGCGCGCAGCGACACCGCGCAATACGGCCCGCTGTCCGCCTGGATCTCCGGCGTCACCGCGTTGCCGCCACCCTACAATACGTGCCAAACAGTTTAAACTACATAACATACAGTCCGTACGGATAAAGAATGGGATCAGAAATGGCGGCTCATCGAGCTCGTACCGTCAACATGCACAGTACCAATAGCGGAACACCTGCTAATAACGGTATATTGTTATTACGTTATATTATTCGGTTAATTGGATATTTTCTATTCGGAAAATATTTGAAAATAATAATTGTATACGCAAGTAGGTACATTAATTTATAATAGCATTTATAACTAGCGTCCCGCTCTGGCTTCCCCTGGGTGGGATCTATTAATGTAGCTTTATTTTGACTTAAGATAATCATTCATCATCATCATCATTACAGCCCTTCACAAGTCCACTGCTGAACATAGGCCTCCCCCAAGGAATGTCACAAAACACGGCCACCTGCATCTTTTTTTTTATAGGATAAGGGTGACAAACGAACACACAGTCCACCTGATGGTAAGTGGTTGCTGCGGCCCATAGACATCTACATCTATCCTCTATTACAAATCAAAATGTAGATGCGTTGTCACCCGTGAAGACTAAGATGGAATGCCTCATTTCCAGTAAAAAAGGCCTCCGGCCACCTGCCTCACCAAGCAAAACGCAGAGGTAAACCTCTACTTCACATTAGTTTTCTGTGAGGTCGCGGTATCACCCCGGGTCGAGCCGGCCCATCCGTGCGACAATAAAAGCTGCCGCGTAGCTCTACCACTGTTGTGGTCTGGTCGTCATAATGAAGTCAATCTCATTTTTTGTCGAACCCTCGGGGCTCGACCAGGTCCACTCCCTGTGGGGCCGCTTCTTGAAGAAAGAGTTCATCATAAAGAGTCCCTCTTTCTCCATGAAGTCAGCCATGGCCCTATTCCAAATTTCCCTACTTTCAGCTCACGTTCTCTCTTGTGCTTAGTTTTGCATTGAAGTCTCCCATTAACACCGCATAGTGGGTTTTGGAGGAATACATGGCTCTAGAGATATCCTCATACATTTCCTCCACCTCCTCATCGGGGTGTGCCGAGGTTGGTGCGTAAACCTGTATAAACTTCAGCGTATACCGTTTGGTGATTCTGAGTATAAGATACGCAACCCTCGTCGACACAATCCCAATCTTTACAACGTTGTTAACGAGAGACTTGTGGACGATAAATTCGACACCTCCTTGCAATAGATGGTCGCCCTCCCGGTGATAGAACAAATTGCCAGATTCGAGGATTACTGTGTCCTCCCCCTCTCTTCGGACCTCGGATAATCCTATAATATTCCAGCGCAACTTGTCTATCTCTTCTTCCAGCTCCAGGATCTTCTCGTCAGTCCTCTGGGTGGGTGCGTTAATGCGATAATCATTAAAGACCATTTATTTTATCTTATCAATATTTCTATTCTAATAGTGTCTAACCTTTTCGGATAAAATTTAGTCTAGATCATTCCTGATATTTCGATCTATATGTTCGTTAATTTTTATTACAATCGGTTCAACCATTCCGAATATGAGCTCGGACAAACAAACAAACGAACGAAAATTTTAAAAATTGTTACTCACGTATTTTATACAAAAATATATACCAACAAAATCAACAATCATCATCATCATCATTACAGCCCTTCATTAGTCCACTGCTGAACATAGGCCTCCCCCAAGGAATGCCACAAAGCACGGTCTTGAACCACCTGCATACATCGACTTCCTGCATGTCTTACCAGATCGTCGCTCCATCTAGTGGGGGGGGCCGCCCTACACTTCACCTACCGGTACGAGGCCGCCACTCGAGAACCTTTCTTCCCCATCGGTTGCCGGTTCTTCGAGCTATATGGCCGGCCCATTGCCACTTCCGCTTGCTAATCCGTTGGGCTGAGTCGGTTACACTGGTTCTACTGCGGATATCCTCATTTCTAATCAACAATAATTATGAAGAAAACTCCCAGAACGCATCTAGCTCACAAATTAGCGAAACCAGACTAAATTTTATTTTTGTAGTTCATAGCATTTTGTTATCATTGATTCCAGTGACAAGTTGGACTGAAGTTAACTTGCAAAAAACGCATATCACAACGTATTTTTTTTCGTCTTTACCGGCGTGTATGAGCACGGAGCAAATACATAGAGGAGGTGTTGTAATTAGATTTCACTATAATATAACAACGCGTGACAATTTACGGGGTGAGGGGGTGTTAAGCACCTCCTTAACTATTTTCCATCTACCGATAAATAGTAAAACTACACGCATCGTTCCATATCGATGTTGCAATGTAGTTTAGCTACCTTGAATGTAGATGGCGCGCAGTTCACAAAATTATTACAAATTCTTTAGGACTGAATGCAAAACAAATTTCAGCACTTTCGTATGATTATTTTACCAATACTGAGCTCTACGTACCTATATATTTTTAGTTCCCATGACACAAAGTGTCGCCATCTAGTGTCGAATATATTTAATTATATTTGAAAGCCGACGCAAAGAGATGTTTCTAGAAGCATTTTAATAAATTAGGTATAAAATTACTTACAAATGAAATGTGATGCCATCCATACGAGGGCGGCACTGAAAATTTCGGGAATCAAGGAAGTGACACAACACTACTATTTAAAAATGTATTTATTGCTTTTCGAAGTATTCTCCACGAAATTTGACACATTTTTCCATACGATGGAACCAATCATTGAAGCAACCATTCCATTCGGAAGTTGGGGTCTCCAAAATGGCCGTTTTGTAGGCGTCCAGCTTCTTCAGGTGATGAAAATCTCTGTCCACGCAATTTATTCTTTATTTTAGGGAAAGTATAGAAATCATTACGGCTGAGGTCGGGGCTGTACGCCGGATGGTCTAATAATTCTATGTTTTATTGCTCTAAAAACTCTTTTGTTCTGTGTGCGGTGTGAGAGCTCGCATTGTCGTGATGGAGGATGATGCGGCGGTTGCAGTTCTCTTTACGGAGTTCAGAAACGACCTGTGGCAAACAAATGCTAGCATACCATTCTACATTAACCGTTCTTTGTCCCTCAAGAGGAATAGTCGTAACATGGCCGGTTTTGGAGACAAACGTGGCCACCATTTTTTTTGCAACACTCCGTGAACGACTAATTTTTGTTGGTTTTAACTCATTTTCGAACACCCAAACTCGTGACTGGTTTTTTGTTTCGGGTTCGTACACGTATATCCAGGATTCGTCACCTGATACGATGTTGTATACAGCATTTGAGGATCCTGCGTGAAATCTTTCGAAAGTTCTGACGCACCAAGTAACGCGAGCCGCTTTTTGCTCTTCACAGAGCGAATGCGGTATCCGTCGGGAAAACAACTTTTTTACACCTAATTGTTCATGCAAGATTATTTGTATTTGACTCTTGAATTTCGCGGTATGTCACAAGTCGATCTTCCTCAATCAGCTTACGCACAGCATCAACGTTTTCTTGGGTAACTGCAGTTTTTGGACGACCTTGACACGTCCACGTTGAAATTCAGCAAACCAGCGATAAATTGTGGTTTTGGATGGGGCTTCATCGCCAAATGCAGAAATCATCCAGTCAACACACTGTTTTTGTGTTAAACCACTTCGAAAGTCATAATAAATCATCGCTCTTGAATTTTCTCTAGTCAATTCCATTTTCTCAATGACTAAACAAGTTTGACAAAACCTTGTGATAAGACCGAGTATCTTTTTTTAAATAAAAAAAATGGTATTCGATTTTTAAAACTAAGGAGTTTTCAATTATAAAGATTTTAATATGACAGGAACGTTGGAAATATTCCATTCCCGATACTTTTAGTGCAGCCTATGTAGCATCAGAGCATCATCTGAACAATTTTTACACGATGAAACACAACACTTCATCCTTTTCTTCTTAATACTACGAAAATACACAGATTTGCGATTTTTGACATATAAGCGCACAGGACGAACTCTGCCAGTATACGAACTAAAGCCACGGCCACTGTGATGACGTCAGGACCTAGTTAGAATCACAGTGCACAGTTGCTTAGGCCGTCTCCTCTTTGTATTTGCTCCGTGGGTATGAGTATAATAACTACAGTGTGCGAAATAGAGGCGACTCTATTTTAATCCCATTCTTTAACCGCACGGATAGTACCAATTTATTTATGGACTAAACTGAATTATTATTTAGCTACAACATTTCCTTTACATTATTTACATTTCATTTGTTTTTGTATGTAATATATACTTTTATGCGTGTCTCTATTTGTATGTATGTAGATAGATGTGTATTTTATGTATTTAATAAGATGCGATGTGGGAACTTTTACTAGACTGTTGGACTAACTAGTCTGTACTGTCATTTATTAAGAATATTACAGTTCATGTATGTAAATTCTAAGAATTTATCCATTTCATTATCTTACCTACCTATACACTACAATGTTATATGTGTCTACTTATAACATATACGTGTCAAAAACTATAGAAAACTTATTAGAAATTATGTTCTTTTAAGGACGTGAACAAGTTACAAGCGCTGTTTGGCTCAAAACAATGACATGTCCATCAATCGCTTATCTTACACAAATGTTAATTACTTATAGCTTTAGGAAATTTTGTTGTCTAAATAGTTAGTAGACAATTTTTTAGATTAACCACTCAGATCCCGACATTGTATCGGCCCAACTTCGTCAGACCTGTAGTCAGGCCAAGATCAATAATATTTTTTGATTCTCAAAACCAGGCCCTGTCAACTTATGTATGGGACCTAAGTGGCATTAATAACAGCTCCATTTTATTAAATTCGCAGAAAACTACGTGTGCTTCGCAGGTCGATGTAGCACCTGATAAACCGTGTATTTGGCGCTGTTACAGAATAATTTTTACAGAAAAAAACATAATTTCAATATCAATAGATAGATACAAAATCAATAGGTGAACACTCCTATTTTAAAGGTTTTCAAATAAATTGGCAACTTTGAGGTAGAAATCTCATAAAACACATCTTACAAATGAAAGAATTCTGTAACAACGCCATCTACACGGTTTGTCAAGTGTAATGGCGCAAGATCGTCATTTGAAGTACATTCTCTTAATTTATTTCTCGTATAATCTTAACTCTCGTAATTTAATAACGACACATTCCAATAAAATTTTAAGAATTTTCGTTGTATAATTCTTTTAAATAACATTCAAATAAGACTTGTTCTGAGCACTCTTGTCTATGGTTCTAAGGGGTCTAAAAATGTGGCATGTGCTAATCCGATGTGTTGGACAGGGACTCCAAAAATTATTAAAGAAAGGGGAATGCCCAATTCTGGCCATGAAACACCCAACAATTTACATTTGTTAAAAAAATACATCTTTTTTTATGTTAATTAATCGCGGTATTTATGTATCCAAAAAATATTGCAATATTTTTGCACAAAAAAAGTACTGATAAGATAAAAATGAAATTAGGTAAATCCACAAGTCATTAGTTTGTAGATAAAATAAAAAGTGTTGCCAATTACAAATCTCGTTAAAAAAGTCGATTCTGTTTATTCAATCGATTTTTTATGGTGTCATTATTATAATGGTAATATTATTTTTCGACAATTATTATGATGTTATGATTATTTAACAAGCGAATTGCTAGTTGATTTACCATGAACTCTTTAGAACATAACAAAAACGCTACTGCACAATTTAAATGTTATTCTTATCTGTTCTTAAAAATACATTTAAAATGGAATTTATATAAGTAAAACAAAACATATTTTAAAAGGCGTGCAGAACTTAAAGGGAATCAAAAATTATTCTTTTTTATGAAATTATAAATTGAGTAAAAATCGCTATCTATTTATCGATTTTATGTCTGTTAATTGGCAACATCTAATCTGACAGCTAGGCCCATGTCATAATTATCAAAAGTAAGGGAGTTTTGGCGGGAATTGATCGGCGGCGGTTTGCTGCTCCGGTATTATAGTTTAAATAATAGTTTGAAGTGGATTTTGATATGTAAAAGTGGTGCGATTTTATGTATTAACTGTATGTAGGTGTAGACCTGTGAACTATTAGTTGAAACGGTGAAACAAGTGCTCTGATGGTGATGGATTCTCAAGATAAGCTGTTTGTTTGCATAGGCGCCTTTAGATACCATCGCCAACTGTCAGCTGCCTGCTGGCTCAAGTTGCCGTCAAAATCTCCCTAGGGCTGCACAATGTGACGCATCAACATATTGTGAAGCAGTGAACTATGAAGGATAATTATACATAAAGACAAGGCTGTATGGCATAGTTCCTTTGCCTGCTCTCTCGAGCGAATAATAAAAACAACAACAATATAAAAAGTAAATAGTGACAACCTCTGCACGAACTTGGACTCGATATCCACTGTTAACGATGACCCCAGCTTTCACACCGGCCAGTTCTTTCCAGCTCTCAGTAACTCATTCAAGAGGACATTTACGCTGTGTCAATTGCGATTTAAATGTCACGAAAATACGAAGTCATTTGTTGTTAAAAAACTGTTCTTGTGAAAATAAAAAACCTTTATATCTTAAAAACTCAGACATTTTTTAAACCAATTCCTTAACCATTTCTTTCTTTTAATTGCATATTATCATTTCCATATGCTTTTATATGTGGGCACCCATGGCCGAAGTGTCTATGAACGGTGGGCATTCCCCTTTACATTACTATCCACTATCCCATATCATCCCGTGGACGACACCCAAGAGGCAACAGAGGAACACAAATCAGCAGATGGCCAGCAGCATCTTCTGTATATGTCCAACCGTGGCAACTATGGCAAATATCCCCTTATGAGCTTTTCTATAGGGGAGGCCTATGTTCAGTAGTAGACTTTAATAACTGTAACAGTAATAAAGTATTTGTAGATGCTACTTAAGGGAAATTTAGCGTCAATTTCAAAACTTAAAATATCTGATATCACTCACAAATTTAAGAAACAAAGCAAATATAATCAATTCGAAAAACCCAAGGAAAATAATTAAAAATATTTTTTGATTTAGGTTATATCTTTGAGTATTTATAAGCAAGCTATAGAGGGAGCGTTAGAGAGTGTGAACAGTCAGCACGGGCGTGAACAGTCTCAAAATGGCAAGGTCGACATTATTAGTCACGAAAGGTCACGTACGTAATTTATTTCTCTTGACTGTATTTATTTGAATTTTAAGTTACCATTGTAAAATGTGCAGTGCCAAGCTGCAAAAACAATTCACGGAGGCAAACTAAAAAGAACAATGATATTTCTTTTCATCGGTATGTAATATTTCAATAAGAAACACTGATTTCAACAACATTACTTAGCGCGTCAAAGAGTGTAGGCGGAAAGCGCAATGTTCACGGAAGCAAACTAAGAAGAACAATGATAATATCTCTTTTCATTTCCCCCGCCGTTGCTCTGCACAAGTACATTCGTTTCACAACTGTTACATTCTCTTTAAACTATGCCTTTATAGTGAGTGAAATATTTTATTATTATCTTTGATGGATGAAAATATTTATTTTAAAGTCAAACCAGTGCTCAAAGATGATAATAGAATGGATTTAAAATCATTTGCAACCATTAACATCGTTTTAGGTGCATATGTGTACATCCATCAATAATCTTTTACAGGCTTTTAAAGAAAGAAAGAAGATGTTTGCGTCAAAAAGTTGAGCATGGTTTCGGCTTCACTTGAATTGTACGCCTTTCTGCGTTTTCTTTAATATAAAATATAGCGCAAAACTGTTCTAATGTGTGCGTGCGTAAGTCATCCTCCAATCCAATAAGTTACTACGTCTTAAGTTAAAAAAGTAATTTAAAAAAAATTACCTGCGCAGTACAAGCTTGTGCGAACGCGTTTAGCGTGTATGTCACATGTAAGGTCTCCACACCGCCAGCCAATGCACAAATGGCTTTCACAGCCTGAAATACGGCTTTGGGGGAACAGCTCCCTTCAGCTCCAACCACTCCCACGACCCTTGATAGTTCTCCCTCCAGTGTCTCTTTGGATGAAAAAAAAAACATATATTTTTTTGTGTTATTATTACAAGGATGACCTATGGCTATTGCATATAGATGCATGCTAGTATGATTATTGCTAAAACTAAAAAAATGTCTTTAAAATATTACGGTATCTTATATTTAAGAGGCAACTATAAGAAACATCAGGGAGATCTCACTCTTTATAAAGATCGATTTACACCAGATATAAAATGCGTAACATCTGGTATAACCTTTCCCAGTCCCGTTTATCAAGAGTAGCAATTATGGCAAATCCTCCGTGAAGAAGGAGAGGCTCATGTTCAGCAGTGGACTGTTTATGGACTGGCGAAGAAAAAGATATTTGAGATTAAATAAGGCGAACAAGTCATGTCGTCCCGGCGAAAATGAATTCCAGCCAGACCGGCGATGGGGACCAGCGTCAAAGGCGCCAAACGTCTGCTGTACTGCGATCGGCAATCCGCCTGCCAAGTGTGACGATTAGGCTCATGAACAGCAGTGAACTTTCATAGGCTGATGGAGAAGAAAAAGAGAGAGTATGTCACCTGCACGAGACTGTGGCGACCTGGTGATGACAGAAAATTTATCCAAATCCCGCAGAATTCTGATGGGGAGTAGTTATACCAGTGCGAGACTTTACGCTCATCAATCTGTTCAACTAGTGTGGTGAATTTAAGCTAAGCTTCTAGTAAGGGTTTGCTACTTCCCACATTTTTAGAAATGCCTTTGTCAGGCAGCAGACTTACAATGCTGGTGCAGCTGGTAATGTGATATTATGATAAAACAAGACTAAATTTCAGGGCCACTAACGATTAACAGAAAACCCGATGGCTTTCGAAATCAATTTAATCTTAGCCATCACTTCACACTTTGCTCCGGTAGCGAAGCCTCCATAGAAGCCGAGAAACCGGGCTTGCCCTATCAAACTGCTTAATCAATAATATCAAATAATAAAATAAGTCGTAAACTGTTTCAAACTATTTCAAATTTCCCGCGCGCTCCTCAATGGACTGTAAAAATTAACCGTCGCGGCAAAACTGCGCGATACTGCTGTCATAAAAAAGGAGTTGAGTTGAGCGATTAGTCTTCTCTCTCGCACGCGTGGGCTTTTTACCGGGCTTTCGAGAAGACGATCGCTCCCTTTCTAACCTGTGGCAAAATGTTCTATAATGATAAATAACTACGATTGTTTATATAGCAATTAGTATGGAGCGATAAGCCTGACTTTAGGTATGAAGTTAGTCGAGTGCGGGGGCGCGCGAGCGATAACAGCGATACATTATTACAACTTCAACTTTTTGCAACAACACTTCGCATTTCAATGTTTACACTGTGTGTTCACTTTAATGTTTTTTTAAAGATTTAAGTGAAAATGGAGTATAATAGTGATCCTTGTGATGAATTGAAGTGTGTTAAAGTGCTAATCGGTGAGGGAAAGGTAAAATCTTTAAACTTTGTTCAGAAAAAACAGCTCATATTCACATAAACAGTTATTGATACAATTAAAACGTTCATCAACATTTTACGCAGACGTAATCAAATCTTTTCTTAAGAAAGAAAGACGACTCGATTTAGAATATAAATAATTTGTTTTTTTGTTTTAATTTTGTACATAGTTTGTTTGTACTTTGTTCATACTTTTCTTTTGTTCATGTATTGTATTGTATGTAAATATCTTTTTCTTTCGCCCAAGCAAACCCAAACGACTTTTTTCAAAGCCGCCGAAGGTATGCAACTGCTGATATGTCATACAATCTATCTATCAGTAGTATGCCTTCTGTGTGCTTTGCTAAACACGTCCTCAACAGCACTGTATATGAAACTGAAGAGTGGAGACAGATCCAGATTGGTGTATTTTTATAAAACTGCTAAAAACACAAAACCATATCTTGGGCTTGCCCTAGTTTGGAGCCTTAGCTTCGCCACTGCTTTGCTCGCTAATACTCTTTCATAAAATTTAATTATATTTACTTTGGAAAGATTATGAGCATCACAGGAAAATTATCTTCTAGAAGTAATGACGCAATTAAGTTGTCTGTTGATTTAATGTCGCCTAATTTTTCTAATAGAATAAGGATGAAAAACGAGCACACAGACCACCTGATGGTAAGCGGAAGCTGCGGCCCATAGACATCTACACTTCTCCTCGATTAAGAATCTAAATGCAAACGTTATTAATCGCTTTCGCAGTACCAGATCTCTTGCACCTTTAACGGTACTACTCGTCGTATATACTCTACCTATCAGACATTTTTCGGCCTTTCCCTTAGTCGCCTCTTACGATATCTACGGTAGGAAACAGCTAATGGATTCTCTTGCGCCACCAGCACACATAAATTGTTGTTATACTGTAGTTGTTGTTGCTACTGTTGCAATAAGCATGAAATAAAATGAAGATTGCAGTAAGTTAAAGATAGTCTACATGGAGGTTCTGTGCAAATCAACTTGCAATGATCCAGATGTTAAAAGTCAAACCTTGAAGTCTATGGCGATTTTCAATAGCCCAGTCTAACAAGTGTGTCTTACTTTTCTTTCTACACTTATCAGAAGACTAGGTGATTTTTTAAATATAAATTTTCTTAAAAACACTTTCCTCACCGAGTAATATAGACAGGTTATCGAAAGTAAGCGTGGCTCCTTGCGATGAAATAAGATCGTCGAGAGTAAGGTGGGAATCTCTCGCGTCGTCTCTTTCACTCCTCGCCAGCGCGTTGTCCCCGCCCTCGTGCAAATAGAGACGCACGTCTTTCTCTAAGCGTACGCACTCGCGGATGTAATCGTACTCGCTGAGGGAACTACCCGGAGTTAAGTATTCCTTTGCACCCCATACCTAAGAAAAAATAAAAATCAATTATTCCTTGACTTTTCTTGTTCTGTTCTTCTATAGTTCGTTCTATAGTTTGACTTCCATCAAACTATAGAACGAACTATAGAAGAACGAAAACGCGTTAGGGACAATCAGTTCATAGTCTAAATATATAAAGTATATTTATTACTAGCTGAAGAAGCAACAATTGTAGAAATATCATTTTAAATATGGAAGAATTATATTGTTTATTTAGGAATGATAATGATGATGATAGTTGAGTTATATACTTTCAACTAAATTTGTCAGTACGATACGGGCGCCATCTATTAAGTTAATTGCATTATGCCTATATCTAACGCGCAAATACAAGCAATAAGTTGACAAAATTTTACCGCAATCTGATGAACGGTATGGTAGCGCATAAAATACGAACAAAAAAACATTTTTTATATATTAGAAGAAGATTGTGTACTCACTCGCAACATATATCCCGACATATCGTCCCTTATATCTTCATCGAGAGAACACACTACGGTAAGTATCACATGTTCCACAGTTGATTCGACTGAAATAAACAATTCGAGTAAGATTGTTGTCTCATCTTAATTTCCTTAGCTGCCTATAGACCTTAACACTATATCTACATTTAAATATTTGAATTTAAAAAGTTCTAAATCTTCATTAGCGCATAAAATTATTAATAATGTTTAATTGTTGAATATGATGTGTCTCTCGGAACTGAGAGGGTTCAATGTAATCGCCACGCTTGCGACTGGACTGACAACCACAGTACCAGGCGGATGTTTCATACTTCGATGGTAGTTTTCCTCTGGAAATTTTTCCTGGCAATTTATTGGGCTCGCGCCAGCAAAAACGTGGGAAGAATAATCAAGGTTATTAAAGTTAGAAGTTAAAGTTACAGCCTATATACGCCCCACTGCCAGACACAGGCCTTCTGTCACTTCTGTTCTGGTTTTAGAGCAAGGAAAATCGAGGCTATTATAAATTAGCATTTATCAAGATAATGTTTAAAATTTGCATCTCGTCGTAACCACCTTCTACACTACTTTAAAAAATATTTATTTCTTTACCCTGTGATCATAATTACGAATAATATATTTATTAATGTATCAGATAATTAACGGAGGAGACAATCATCTATATAATCATACTTAAAATAATGAATGGTAACGGATTTTCTTGCGCTACCACGCTATTGTACCACCATTTCACCATACCGCAACTTAGGACGGAGTATGAACAATACCAATATTACTTATAACACTGGCCGGCGAAGGAGAGCGGCATTATAAGTGTGAGATGGGATGTGATTAAAATCGATCTCTCTATGACAGAGTCTCATGTGAAGGAGTAAAGTGATTCTAATAATTAACAATAACGTTATCACCACCAGGCACCAAAGATAACAACTGAACACAAACGGGCACTGACCATCAGAGGTGAAGGTAATGGGCTCGTCCGCGTGCGCGTTGTACACCAGTACTTTGATGCTTGTGTTAGGCGGGTATTTACCACCAGAGCGCGCTGCTATCACATGACCCGGGTTAGTTTTTTCATCCGAAAATACAAACTTTTCTGAAAATAGAAACATAAAAACATGACATTTCAACATCAGTAACAACTTATTTATACTGGTATTTTCATACAACTATGGAAATTTAAATTTAGATAGCTCCCACAAAGCAGTATTTCCATTAACATGAGTGGCTAGTTCTTAATAAGCATGTTCAGCTTCACCTTCAGTGATTTAAATTAATGTTTGAGTTGAGAAATGAGTTTTAAGCATCATTGAGTTAGGATGTAGTATCAAAGACAAGGCGAAAAATAGAATATTTTTGTGTAATTGTAATTACCACAAATTGTTATGATACAGGTTTATTTTGCAAGTGAAAAAAAAATTAATTAAAAAACATCTCAAACATTCTGTCATTTTTATCTTGTAAATTAAAAATGCGTAGTAATGCATTGATTTAACTAATTGTCATTCATAAATATCTAATGCCTACTATATTACTATGCACGCACACATTCGTAAGGGTCGCTCGGTCAGCAAAAACGTTGTGAATTTAAACGCACACAGAGGAGCACGCGTACGAGTAGTTGTTGCCCATAAATCACATACAATTTGGGATAATTTCAAATAGAAGAGGCCTTATTTACTCGTATTTTCAAAAACTGCAATAACGGTATATCATTAGTTATATATTCGAACTTAGGTTTTAAATTTGGCTACTAAAATAACCCTGTATATAAAAAGCAATGCGTTTAAAAACTACATGGATTCAAAGCCGAAATAGTTTTAGGGCGTAAATAAAATAAAAATCTTATTTTTAATAAATTGTTTTAGTAAAATTACTCGTATATAGGATAGAGCTATTCTACATGAATATAGTCACTTTAGCGTGTATTGTAACAAATCAAAAGTCGCCCTCATACAAAAGAAATAGATTTTATGAAGATTTTCTAGGCTTATTTATATCAATTCCAAATGAGGTTTATAATTCTCACTGAGGTATAAAACTACTCGGTACACACAGGTACAGTCAGTTTCCGCTTTATATATGAAGGGTTTTCGACCATTTGTACCCCTTTACCAAATTATTACCGTTTGACATAATATAACAAGCAAACATAAACTTAAAAAAAAAACTACATAATAGAGTTGTAAATAAGTGAGTATAAAACAATAATTTCAAAACACCCATCTAAACATTTTACTTATACCTTCTTCATACAAACAAAATTAGCACCATCTGTCATAACACATACGAACTACACGAGTGCCGCGTTGCATTGGTAGACGACGTAACCAGGGCTGGATTTCGACGTATAATAATTATTCATAGGGTACCTACTCACTTATTTACATCTATATTATGTAGTATGTAGTATCGTAATAAATAATAAATAAAAATACATTTATTTCTCAATAACACTATTTCATTCATTAGTGGTGAAACAACCCCAGAGAGTAATGTAGTTCCTCATGTTGGGGTGTTTCACTCTTACCTTAGTGCTTAACTTTTATACTGTACTATGCCACTATACTACGCGAAAATACCATAATTGTATCTTCAGGCCGACCAACTTGTATTATTTACCCTATAATATCGAGAACTTCTGTATGTTCGGCAACACCAAATCAGACAACGACAGACGGGAATTCATGTGATGTTTTACTATCCTGGTCGTTCTGACAGAGACGATATCATGTTCATAGCAATATTTTTGAATTTTCTATGAACATGATATCGTAACGCAATTTTATTTCGTAACGTAAAAACCCCGGTGCATGGGAAAAAAATTAAACGTCAAATGTGTTGTAATTTTGGAAAAATAATAAGTATAATTTTATTTTCGATGTACAATATTTTTGAAGGTCTGAATCCAACCCTGGCGTAAATTAAAGTCGCGTTGGCCTTAAACTGTCATATCTTAGGGTCAACGCATTTGTGCTATTTAGTTGTGCGGTTGGCCCGGTCCTTACGCTAGTAATATATAGGTCAATGGTATAAAATAAGTGTATTTTTAACTTACTTCTGACATCTTGTACCAATTTCAAAAAGGCTTTGTGCTCACTGTCATAATTTTTGTTTCTGGTTCTTACAATACAGTCATAAAGTTTATTCTGAAACAAATAATGTTTTATTTAATAGTTTATTTACACACATACAATAAAAGAATAATAGAAAAGCTAACATGATGTGTACTGAACACAGAAAATATAATGCATCTATTTAACATGAGTATCATGCAAATATATTGATTACTGTAATAGATCTATATCCGAGTCGCAGAATATTCTTAGAGACAATTAAAAGAACAATTTTTACCGTAGTAGGCCTCTTAGCGACAGTTGGCATGGTAGGTATGGACTTAGGCGGAGGAGACGGCAGCATAGTACTATCTCGCTTGCTCACTGTCGCGTACACGGGCGCGTCGCGCATCTCTGTCTCACCATACAAAAAGTCCAACGGGTCGTACTCTTCGTACACGCTGCTGGAACATTCACTAGGCGCCATGTATTCTGGAACAAAACACAATTAGATATGACTGCAAAGGCAATTTACAAGCTAATTGTGAATTTATTTTAAATAACCGACACAGAAAACCCAAACCACTAAATGATATGATGGAAATGGTTTCAGATTTGCCTATCCTGTTCAATTTTAAATAAACATAAAATAAAACACTAGAGCATGTTACTTTGTGGGAGATGTATCTATGAGTATGTGCTAATCTCTGAACACTATGTCTAACCATAAATTATTAGTAACAACGAAAAAATACAAACACCTACTTAATCTTCTGTTCTGGAACTAAAACCTACAACATAAGAATAAGCCAATAAATACTTCCTTATTAGAGACGATAAGAAGAACTATCTAATATATGGTAAGGCCAACGAGACAATATTAAGTGTAAGATTCTGATTTTTAATTAGTTCTGTTAAAAAATTGCTATTGATTACAAAACTCCATCAACTTTTTTATTGAACAGTTTTTATTGGAAAAAGTAAAAAAAAAATGCAACATTGAAGGAAAATTAAACAATAAATAGAAATTTTAGCACAAATTACATTGTTATAGTCACCCACAAGCAGTGTTTGTGTGAACACATGCATTGTAAAATGATATGAGAAGAACTTTTATTTTCCATAACAATGTATGTAATCTATCAATGTAAACCTGTGATGGCAAATTTAAGGCAATACATACATATAGCATTTTATCGCGATGGCAGAATTATTAAATTTGTATATATTTGTATATACAGCCAACCGTCCTGTTTTCCAAGGTCATGTCCTAGTTTTTGTAGTGTCCTGGGATGTCCTGGATAGTTTTTAAGCAGTATCTTGGGTTTTAAAACGCCCTGATAAGGTCATGTATTTTTAAGATCACGACATTGAAATTGACGACGAAAAATTATTTGACGAGATAGGCAGCGAACCGATAGCGTGGCCAAGCGAACACGTAAACGAACCGATTACTTACTTGCGTACACAGTACATACATTCGTTACGTTTTCGGTTCAGTTCGGTTCGCAGTTATGTTTGACAAGGCCTTTACTGCGTCCTGTTTTTTAAACTGAATTCTCCTGGTTTTTCCAACTTCAAATCCTAATTTTTTTTTATTTGGGTTTGGGAACCCTAGTTTATGGGTGCTGTAAAGCACCCGAACTGTCAGGAATTAAAATAACTAAATCAAACGCGATAAAATCCGTAAATATAGTTTTATTCAATGTGTAGTATTCGCGTAAATATAAGAAATCAATATTGTAGAAGTCAACTAAAAGAAATAACAAAACTTTAACGATCCAGAAAAATACAGAATAAAATAGTCCATATTTTAGATCTACCATATACCGGCTAATGCGTTTTAATTCCATCCATTCATCATTCATTAGAGCCAATAGAAGGTCCACTGCTGAACATAGGCCTCCCTATAGATTGTCTCTTAGAGGGATTTTGCTACAGTTGTCACTCTTGGCAAGCGGATTAGCAAACGCAGATTTTATAATTTTGAGCTGCTATTACATATAATTGTGGGCATCATGTTACTGCTGCCTATATCCTGGTTCGTTTCCCTCTGTCGCCTCTTAAGATACCCACGGGATGAAATTGGATAGTGCATTCTCATACGCCGCCACCGCCAAAATAATAAAAACTGCGATTGCCAACCCCCTGCCAAGCTTATCAACTATAGCAAATATCATTATGTGAGGTAATCTTTGGGAGATGCCAATGTTCGGCAGTGTAGGATAAATGATGCTGAGTTTCAGAAAATATGCCATCACAGTGCGAGAACATGAATGAAACACAAACAAGCCACTCACCAGAATGAGGCTGATCGGTTAGTAGCGGATCAAATGCCTCTAGCACACTGACTCTTACGCTACCTGCACCTTTTGCTAGCCGGCCTCCGAAGTCGATCAAGTTCTGCGACTTCGGCAGACTGCCGATAGTGTCGTTTGACTCGTTCGACTGGGAAAATTGCAACAAGTTAAATGGCTTGTGCGAATATTTTTACGCGTTTTGTATGTATATTACGCGATATCTTCACAGTTTGTGAACCAATTTTGATGATGATTCTTTTATTAAATAGGTTATACTTCAAGGGTGGTCCCACATAAATTTGGAGAAAAAATTTCACCCTTGTAGCAAATAACTTATTTTTTAAGAAATTTGAAGTCTGTCTTAAATTTTTGTTAAAAGTTATAATTATTGTTAACAATTATTTATTTTAGCTTGTGCCCACGACTTCGCCCCAATGAAGATATAAGCACTGGTATGTTTTCCCCCAACGATATTTCTTATTTCCCTTGTTTAAAGTATCCCATGTACTTATACGAATCTGGATCTGAACTAATTGTGTGAAAAATTTCATACAAATCAGTTTAGGCATTTATGGATAATTAAGAGAATATTCGGGCGGCATTATGCCCTTACTAAGTCCATACAAATGTAACAACAATCTAAAAATAAATGAGAATTTAAAGAACATACTTGTAACAATAGAGGTGAAGAACAACAATGACTTACCCCAATACTGACTTCGGAAGATTTTCTCGAGGCATTGCTTTCCACGCTGTCCCTAGATGGTTCAGCTTTCACAACAGTCTGTGCGCTTGTACTGTTATTGCTAACATTTTGAATCACAGGAGAACTAGTCGGCATTGGCGGATACATGTGCAGTTGACTGAGTTGTGGATATAAGCTGGCAGGTCTTGTCGGCCTGGTTATCATATTTGTTGTATTATAGTTGTATGAAGGCGTATGATTAGAGGGAGGAGGATACCCGATATATGGAGCAGGAGAGGCCATCCTTGTTTGACTGTACGGTATCGTTGGCGCATACATCGGTGGATTCGTTGCAACATAGGGTGTTGTAGGGTCTTGTGAACCGACAATGAGTGGCGCGTAATACGAATAATTTGGTAAATTTGGAGCTGGAGTAGCTAACGGCATTGGCATTCCATATGGTGAAGCAGTTGGATATGATGGCATTGGAGTATATGGTTGCTGATAGTTGTAAGGGTATTGTGGGCCATATGGGTGAGCTGGCCCCTGATTATATGGATGATTGTTCATGGTTGGAGGTGTTTCTGACGTATTAACATTTATCTCTTCAGTTTGCAGTCCTAATCTGAAACAACAAAAAAAGGGTCACAATATGGTTATGAAAAGATACGAGTAAATTATGCTAACCTAAAAACGGAATGTGGTTTTTGTCTGTGTTACATTACACTAATAACACAATTATAAAATGAAATAATTAAAACTCACTTGCTAATTTGTTCAATATATTCCTTGAGAGAAGCATGGGAATCCTTCGGAGCAGTCTTACTTGTTGGGCTTGTGAATGATATTAGATCACTGCTTTCAGTCCTGGTAGGACTTGTGCCTGTTGATCTGTCACTGAATAAAACAATATTTACAATTTTAAAATTCCTTTTTGTATCATTGTTGTGTTTAGGTATGTACAGTATTCATGTAACATAAGTTAAACAACAACCCGCGCGCAGAAGGTCTGCCGACAGCCTCGTGACGTTAAGCGTCGATCGAAGGGTTGCTAGTGGTACTGAGCAGACAATCGCAGGACACGGTTGGCTGAAGTGGGAGGGGTAATCATCGGCAGTCCTTCTGCGCGCGCCCTCTATTTTGTTGTAGTGAATCCTGTTGGTAAGAAAATAGACCTTATTTTATCAAAATATACATAATATTTTGATAAAATAATGTCGCTATTTCTCTTCCTATTATATAATACTTACATAAAAACAATATGTAAGTATTACGTAAGTATGATGTAATAGGATTTAATTCTTCTGCATACTAGCACATTCTTCTGCATAAAACCATAGTAATAATTTACTGAATACTACAAAATTTCACAAAAGATAACATAAAATATATTTATTTACATAATATAATTATGAATATAAAAACATGCCAACATTTCATTGAAATCAAATCTGAATTATAAGTTATAACACAACAATACATGCCTGTCTTTACTTCAATTTAAAAATATCTGACATTTTCAGTTATGTTTATGAATGTTAAAAGTCTAATACAATTTTCAAATTTAAATTATTTGATCCTTTTGGGTGAACTATGCAATATTACAACTTTAGGGTAACAACAAAAATGTTGTCTAAACAGTTACCCTAAAAATTGCATGCAGTATTTTCCTTCCCTAAGGGTAGAATTTTTTCTACAAATATAAACGGGACCATCCCTTGAGTCCTATTTAATAAGTGTTTTGCTAAGCTGTCTTTTGTTATGTATATAGGTATCCATCCATCCATTACAGCCCGTAAAAATCCACATTATTTTCTACTATTTCATTATTAAAACATTTTACAATTAAGTTACCACAATATATTTTTTTAATAGAATAAGGGCGACAAACGAGCAGAAAGTCCACCAGATATTAAGTGGATGCAGTAGCCCATAGACATCTACATTCATCCTTGAATGAGAATCAAAATGCAGTTGCGTTGTCACCAAGGACTAAGATGGCATGTCTCGTTTCCAGTAAAAAGGGGCTACGGTTCTCTACACTCACCATACGAAACACAGCCGCATTAAGCTGCTATTTTACGCTGGTATTCTGTGAGAGCGTGAATCGGTTCTATCCAGGTTGAGCCAACCCATTTGTTCTCCAACTATGATATAGCTGCAGCATAGGTCTATCATGTGGCAAACCAGTTTACTGGTTATACTAGTATGTTTACGGCTCGGTAGCGCTGTGTCTAAACAATATGTGTGAGTTTGTCTACCTCACGAGACAAGTATATGTATGACCTACAAATAATTATTTCTGGTTTAGGTGTCGCCCATATAAAATTCATCTTTTGTAAAACACACCCACGACATGATAAAAGAGCATGGAGAAATTCCTGGTGTTTTGAAAATTCCAGATGTCTCAAAATTAACCGTAGTAATCAAGGAATAAGCGATTACTTGAGTTTGATGCCTTCCGGCCAATGAAATTGTTAATTGCAATTTTAAATGCTGAGAATGTGAAAACATCCTCAGAAAACCTGCATATCTGAGATTATCATTTTAGGGACATGTGATGTCCAACAACATGAACTGAAGCAGTGGGGCTGACTATCTGCTCATCATCATCATCATCATTGCAGCCCTTCACAAGTCCACTGCTGAACATAGGCCTCCCCCAAAGAATGCCACAAAGCACGGTCCTGAGCCACCTGCATCCATCGACTTCCTGCATGTCTTACCAGGTCGTCACTCCATCTCGTGGGGGGACGCCCTACACTTCGCCTACCGGTACGAGGCTGCCACTCGAGAACCTTTCTTCCCCATCGGTTGTCGGTTCTTCGGGGTATATGGCCGGCCCATTGCCACTTCAGCTTACTAATCCGTTGGGCTATATCGGTTACTCTGGTTCTACTGCGGATATCCTCATTCCTAAGTTTATCACGCAGAGAAACTCCGAGCATAGCCCTCTCCATAGCTCGCTGAGCGACCTTGAGCTTCCTCATCCGGCCAGCAGTGAAGGACCACGTCTCAGTTCCGTATGTCATCACTGGCAACACGCACTGGGTGTACAGTCTCGTTTTCAAGGTTTGAGGTATACCTGACGAGAAGATGTGCCGTAATTTCCCGAACGCTGCCCAACCGAATTGAATCCGTCGATTGACCTCTCGGTCGAAGTTGGACTTACCTAGTCGGACTATTTGTCCCAGGTAAACATACTCGTCAACAACTTCGAGCTTAGTGTTCCCAACAACTACCGGCATAGGTGTGACATGGACATTAAACATGATCTTAGTTTTGTCCATGTTCATCTTAAGACCTATGGGAAACACTATTGAGGTCATTGAGCATAGTGCTTAGGTCCTCCAGCGATTCTGCCATAAGGACTATATCGTCGGCAAATCGAAGGTGAGTGATGTACTCGCCATTGATGTTGATACCGTATCCTTTCCAGTCCAGAAGCTTGAAAACGTCTTCCAAGCAGCGGTGAAGAGTTTCGGGGATATGACGTCACCCTGTCTTACACCTCTCTGCAATTGGATAGGTTTCGTACTCTGGTTCTGTACTCGGATAGCCATCGTAGCCCTACTGTACAAGCACTTCAACACTTCGATATACCGACAGTCAACTTGGCACCGCTGAAGGGACTGCAGCACCGTCCAAATTTCGACGGAATCAAAGGTTTTCTCATAGTCCACATACGCCAGACATAGTGGCAAATTGTACTCTTCGGACTTCTGTACAATTTGCCGAAGGGTACGTATGTGGTCTATGGTGCTAAAGCCCTTTCGGAAACCGGCTTGTTCGGGAGGCTGGAAGTCGTCAAGTCTGCGCGCGAGACGATTCGTAATGACTCTCGAAAACAGCACGTAGACGCGGCTCAGAAGGGAAATCGGTCTGTAGTTCTTCAAGAGAGCGTTGTCACCTTTCTTGAAGAACAAGACCACCGCACTTCTGCTCCACGCCTCCGGTGTAATGCCACCATGGAGGACGGAATTAAAGAGCTTCTGAAGGACTTCAAGTACCGGTTTTCCACCCGCTTTCAGAAGCTCCGCTGTAATTCCATCCTCGCCTGGGGCCTTACCGTTTTTAAGGTGCTGGAGAGCCATTCTAATCTCGCTCAGACTGACGTCCGGGATATCTTCGGAATAGTGTCGGATGAGACTCGCTCTTGGATCGTTACTCACACTTGCGTGTGGCTCCAACGATGACGTGTACAACTGCCCATAGAACCTCTTAATCTCACTCAAAATCTCAGGTGTCCCGGAAACGATGCTGCCACATTCTGTCTTCAGCTTTGACAGTTGGCTCTTTCTGGCAGACAGATCTCTGGCAAAGACTTTGGAGCCCTGGTTCCGCTCGATCGCTTCTTCAATACGAGCTGTATTGAAGTTGCGCAAGTCCCGCCGCATGCATTTGGAGATCTGTCTCTTCAGATGCCTGTATGCTGTCAAGTCTGTTGAAGAATGTAGCTTCATCTCCCGTCTAACAGCCATGAGATTAAGAGTGTGATCGGAGTTTTTGTGTTCTTCTGCGGCGGGTCTTGCAGAACTTAGCTCCGACCGCATGGACAGTTTCCACGAGCTTGTCATTCATATCGTCCACTTCATTGCAGTCTTCTAGGCACTGAAAACGGTTTTGTAACTCGAGCTGAAAGGTTTCGGGACTTTGGATTAGAGCACGAGGGGGACGGAGCGTTGACTTCATCAGACGAGACCTCTCCAACTTAACGTTTAGGTTCAGAGTGCCTCTAACCATTCGGTGATCGCTACCAGTTTTCACCCTCGCGATCACGGAGACATCACTGAACAGTTGTCGTCTGGTCGTCATAATGAAGTCAATCTCATTTTTTGTCTAACCGTCGGGGCTCGACCAGGTCCACTTCCTGTGGGCCGCTTCTGGAAGAAAGAGTTCATTTTTTTTTATAGGAGAGGGGGCAAACGAGCATGCGGCTCACCTGATGGTAAGTGACTACCGCCGCCCATGAACAACTGCAAAACCAGGGGAATCGCAGATGCGTTGCCGGCCTTTTAAAAAGGAGTACGCTCTTTTCTTGAAGGTCCCTAAGTCGTATCGGTCCGGAAAAATCGCTGATGGTAATCGATTCCACAAGGAGGTCGTGCGAGGAAGAAAACATCTTCTAAATCGCACAGTGGTGGACCGCCAATCATCCAGATGGTGTGGATGGTATCGGGAGTTCTGCCGCGATGTGCGTTCGTGAAATTTGGCGGCTGGGATTAATCCGAACAATTCCTCAGAGCACTCCCCATGGTAGATGCGAAAGAAAATGCAAAGGGATGCAACATCTCTTCGCAGTGCCAATGAATCGAGCCGATCGGAAAGGGCTCGGTCGTCGAAAATTCGAGCCGCTCTGCGTTGGATGCGGTCAAGTGGAAGGAGCTGGCACTGGGGAGCCCCTGCCCAGAGATGGGAACAGTATTCCATGTGAGGCCGAACTTGCGCCTTGTAAAGTAGCAGGCGGTGTGCCGGCATGAAATACTGTCCCGCTCTGCTGAGCACGCCATGCTTTTTAGAGGCCAATTTGGCCTTCCCTTCCAAGTGACCACGAAACTGCACGTCACTCGATATGTCGACTCCGAGGATACCGATACTGGTTGAGGCAAGAAGGGGAGTGCCTTGAAACTGAGGAGATACGACAAAGGGGTTCTTTTTAGCGGTAAACGCGCAAACTTGTGTCTTCTGAGGATTAAATTGGACTAGATTTAGTCGCCCCCAATCCGAGACTTTGTTCAGCAAAGACTCGACTTCAGACACAAGTTTGTTCCGGTACTCAGCTACGTTTTCCCGAGAAATATTGGCACGGCCGGTGTATAGAGCATCACCAGTGCTGTCATCCGCATAGCAATGAATGTTACCAGTTAGCAACATATCATTGATATGCAGAAGAAACAGCGTTGGTGATAGCACACAGCCTTGTGGATCACCAGCGTTAATAGGCTTGTAGTCAGAGCATGCACCGTCTACAACGACCTTGATGATCAGATCTACAAGGAAACTGGTGATCCAATTGCACAATTTCTCGGGAAGCCCATAGGAAGGGAGCTTCGAAAGAAGCGCTTTGTGCCAAACCCGATCGAAGGCCTTCGCAATGTCCAGACTAACGGCCAACGCCTCCCCCTTGGACTCTACTGCCTCCGCCCATCTATGGGTCAGGTAGACCAGAAGATCACCAGCTGATCGACCCCGACGAAAACCGTATTGGCGGTCACTAATCAGCTGGTGATCCTCAAGGTACCGGATGAGCTGGCAGTTAATAATGGATTCCATTATTTTGGAGAACAAGGAGGTGATCGCGATAGGCCTATAGTTGGATGGGTCTGAGCGGTCGCCTTTTTTAGGGATCGGGTGGACAAAAGCTGTCTTCCATGAATTCGGGACTACGCCTTGGGAGTAGGAGTACCGGAAAAGACGCGTTAGGACCGGTGCCAACTCCGGAGCACACGTCCTCAGCACAATTGGGGGGATTCCGTCAGGCCCACTCGACTTCTGGATGTCCAGGGAGAGCAGTGCTTTGCGAACCGAGCGCTGTGAGAACAGCACATCCGGCATGGAGCACTCACACCGCGGGATGGTCGGCGGTGTTTTCCCCCCGTCATCAAGAGTCGAGTTGGACGCAAAAAGGGAGCCTAAAAGGTCGGCTTTGTCTTTTGCGTCATGGGCCAGTGAGTCATCCTCCCTGTGCAGAGATGGTAGTGATGGCTTACAGAAATTCCCTTGGACAGCCTTGGCGAGAGACCAGAATGCATGGGTTCCCGAAGGAAGGCGAACTAGTTTCTCGCCAATTCTGCCTATGTGCTCTGACTTTGCCTTGGCAATAACTCTTTTGAAGGACCTGGAGGCGAAGTTATACTTGTGCTGGTATTTACATCCCGAGTCGCCGAAGTCGCAGCCCAGGCTTGATAACACTCCTGCTTACTGCGTAATGCAGTCTTACAGGAGCGACCAAACCAAGGCTGAGATCTGCCTCCGATGGGTACCACAGATGATGGAATAAATAGTTCCATTCCCTGTAGCACCACATCAGTGGCAGAGTCAGCAACAGCGCTGGGATCATCCGGCGAGAAGCAAACCCGCCCCCATGGGTAGGATGCAAAGAAGGACCGCATTCCGTCCCAATCCGTCGACCTGTAATGCCAAACACGGCGGCAACCTGCAGAACGCAACCGCGAAGGGAGCGTGAGTGGCACCACACTCCGGATCAGACAATGGTCCGAAGAGCCGAGAGGGGCATCGACGGAAACCAGATATCCGTCCGGATGAGAGGTCGGCAGAAGGTCCAACAGGGAAGGTGTATGATCCTCCACATCTGGAATCCGCGTAGGCGAAGTAACCAGTTGTGTCAGACCATATGCCAAGGCAAAGTCATAAACAGATCTCCCCGCATGATCGGTTAGACGTGAACCGAGCCATTCGGCATGGTGGGCGTTAAAATCGCCAAGGATCACGATCTCTGCGGATGGGACCTGTTGTAGCAAGAAATCTGTAGCCATTTGGACGTGGTCGATGAGTCGGTCTGTTTCGGCATTACCGCTATGGGACCTATAGAGGCACCCGTAGACGCGCGGATGGTCGTCGCTGTCTACGCGTAGCCAAAGGATGGACAGGTCCGAACCTTCAAGACTGCCGAGGCGTCGAGAACAGATGTCCTCTCTGACATACACGCAAACTCCAGCCCGAGGCACAAAGGAATGCTCCAATTTGTACCCCGGGTAGGAGAGATACGAAATATCAGCCGGAGAGGAAACCTGCGTCTCGGTCAGAAAGAGCAAGGCCAGCTTCGCCGTCTCGAGATGGTAGTGGACGGCGTTTAGGTTAGAGTGAAGTCCCCTGATGTTGCAGAAATTCACGGATAGCGTGGCAGGGGTCGCCTTGGTGTTCTTGCTCAGTTTGCCCCTAGCAGTAATGCTTTTGAGCGGAATTTTGCCCCCCCCCCCCAGAATACGTTATATATATTAATACGTTATTAATACGTTCATCATAAAGAGTCCCTCTTTCTCCATGAATTCGGCCAGCTGCTGGCCCCTTGGGTTCCGTTGCCCTATTCCAAATTTCCCTACTTTCAGCTCACCGTTCTCTCTTGTGCCTAGTTTTGCATTAGTCTCCCATTAACACCGTATCTTGGGTTTTGGAGGAATGCATGGCTCTAGAGATATCCTCATACATTTCCTCCACCTCCTCATCGCGGTGTGCCGAGGTTGGTGCATAAACCTGTATGACCTTCAGCGAATACCGTTTGGTGATTCTGAGTATAAGGTACGCCACCCTCGTCGACACACTCCCGATCTTTACAACGTTGTTAACGAGAGACTTGTGGACGATAAATCCGACATCTCCTTGGGACAGATGGTCGCCCTCCCGGTGATAGAGCAAGTTGCCGGATTCGAGGATTACCGTGTCCTCCCCCTCTCTTCGGACTTCGGATAATCCTATAATATGCCAGCGCAACTTGTCTATCTCTTCTTCCAGCTCCACGATCTTCTCGTCAGTCCTCAGGGTGCGTGCGTTGTACGTTGCCAGGTCGAGTCGTCTAAGGTGGCAACCGAACCTCCACCGGAGATTCTTAGCACCCCCTGCCCCGCCGTTACCATGGTCGCCACCGTAGCCAGGAATAGCGGGGTCGCCGGGGACTGGGGGCCGTTTCTTTGTTACTGTCATTCATAGGGGGGTATTTGCCATAGTTGCCACGCTTGGCGAGCGGGTTGGCAACCGCAGTTTTTTTATTGTTAGTTTGTTGTTATCAAGAAGATGCTGCTGCCCATCTCCTGCCTGTTTCCCTGTGTCGCCTTTTACGACACCCACGGGAGGATATGGGATAGTGGATATTCTTGACCGCCACTACACGACTATCTGCTCAATGAGGCCTAATAATCTTCCGCTCACCAGATGTCGCTAGTTGACACTGAGGTGTAGTTTTTTGTTACAAAATATTACTTAATTAAGAAGTTAGTTTTAAATAAAAGTAAATTTATAGTATTAAATTGCCTCAGTGGGATTTTTACACATTTTTAACTGCTTTTTTAATTTATCTACTTTTATAAATATCTGAGGTTTGGTTTATTTTTTATCTAATTAATATACAATATAACTTATAGTACAGAAAGAAACATTAACCTTTACATCTTCCGAACAAATTAACTTCCCCGCTATGAAATCTGTCAAATATTACACCTCATTTTTAAGTGACACTGGCAGAATAAGTCGTGGATCTCTCATCAGAAATGAGGGGAGACCTTACCTAGCAGTGCGACGTATATAGGCTTTACTGTATCTATAATAAATTCTACAAACATACAATACTCTCGCCCCATGAAATAGAAAACAGCTCATTTTTATTTTAATTCATAAGCCCAATTACTCATAATGTTTTTGATTGTATAATCAAAGAGTTAATCTACCTTGACGTTTCTGAAGTGGAAATGCGCCCTCGTGGGGGCTTTCGCGGCGGTGGTGGCAACGCAGGTGGTGGTCCTTCGCCGTCCTCGCGTCGACGCGTACTGTTCGCTGTATTTTCTCGGACATTATCTATAAAATGATATTGATAACATGATAATAACATATGATAAGTGATCTGTACAATTAAACTTTTTTCTTGCTTATTCAATTGTGTATTTGATACTCTGTCACCCAATAAATACATAGTACTTTTTAAGAGTTATTATTAAAATATAGATTTTATGATAAATAAACAATTTATAGAAATTGTATTATATATATGTAATGAAGCCATAGTTTTCATGATCAAAATTATTAACTTATCCATAGAATTTTAAATGCCTGAATCTAATTTATATGTTATATGTAATAAAATATATATTTGTACTTTTATAAAATACCAGCTGTTCCCCGCGACTTCACTCGCATATTAGGGTTTTTATGTTTTTGTGTGCAAACCTAATTATTTTTCTAAAATAAAAGTAGCCTAAGTTACTCTTTATAAAATCAGCTACCTGCCAGTGAAAGTCCCATCTAAATCGGTCCAGCCGTTTCGGAGATTAGCCGGAACAAACAGACAGAGAAAAAATTTAAAAATTGTACTTTAGTTATAAGTACCATATTTGCTTTCATATGCATTTAGTAAAAAACTGTAATTTTGGCATTACAAACAGACACTTCAATTTTATTTATTTGTATAGATGTATTTATTTATATACCATTTTATATTATTTATTTATACAGTATAATGTCAATAATTCGAATTTGTGTTACTTCAAAGAGTTTAATGAATGTATTTATTCATGGGACATGTACAAAGTACACACAATAATGTCCTCCAGATGGAATTTTGGTCACAGTGGCTAGCCTCAGCGGACTAGCCATCAGCGCAGGTCAGGATTATAGTACCGAAGTATATGTGCAAGCACAGCTGCACTTTCTATTCTCTCACTCTCATAGTCCAATGGTACAGTAAACTGATATGACCGGAGAGATCAGGCGCAGGACTAATGGCTTTACAAAGTGCTTTTCGAGGCAGCTACTGAGAATTTCTTGATGGAAAATCTCCTTATGAACAGCAGCCACACTACTACAACCACTAGACCAACGGGGCAGTCACACAATATAACAGAAGCAACAAACATTTTTTTTGTTTTTATTGCTATGAGTTTGGGGAAATCCAAGTAAGATGTTATTCCTGTATTATATTATATACCATAGTATTATCTATCTATCTATCCATCTAATTTAACTTATGGATGGGAAATCAAAGAGTTACAAGGTACTACAAAAAATAGCAAATTCAAATTATAAGATGTAGTAATTTATTAATTAACATGTAAGCTACATAATTTGAAGTTTCAGAGTAAATACATCATATCAAAAGACAAAGTAGAGAACATTTTTAACAAAGGTATAGAATAATATTTTTAAAACTGTTTTAACCTAGGCCCAACTACTTAAACATATGTTTGAAGTTGTCTACAAGTGTCCATGGATTGCATTAGCCATGTACCATAAAGTGAACTGGAAGTTCGTTAAACAAACTATCACTGTCCATGTGTACATCTCACAGTTAGGAAAACTAAATTAACCCTATACTTGGCAAGAAAAAATATTTTAGAAATTCTGAAAAAAATAATCTTAAATATGTTCTTGGGTGGTTAGATAAAAATAATAAAAAAAAATATATAAGTAATTCAGCATTTATTGATCGTATCATATTATATACATTGCCAGGCTCTTAACAATCAACACTATGAAATCTACGTATCTAATTTGCTACACTGCCAGTCTTTGAGTGAAGTTAATAACTGAGTTTTACATATAATTGTAACAAAAAAACCTAAAATGTCAACATTCTCAGTGATATAACAAAAAAAAACATAATTATTTTGTACTTCTACATACATATAAAAATTTACATAAAAACAGCCTTTATATCTAAATGTAAATTATTGGTAAATTGAGATCAATCATAAAAATCAAGTCAAAAATATGTTGTCTTATTTACAATTAAAAATAAAATACGAGGGTGGATTGAAAAGTACTCGGCCTAACCAAGAAAATAAACAAATACTAAATCAGTTATATTTTTATTTTTCTACATAATCACCATCAAGTTCAATACACTTTTGCCACCTCCCCTTCCAAGCATTTAGACCGTTGAAAAAAAATGATTCTTCCTTAGAGTCAAAATATGCGTCTACAGCTGCTTTGACCTCGTCGTTTGTCGAAAATCATTGACCTCCCAAGTGCTTTTTTAGGTTAGGGAACAGAAAGAAGTCTGATGGTGCCAGATCAGGTGAATACGGCGGATGCGGTAACAGTTCAAAGTCACAGTTGTGAATTTCAGCCATTGACTGTACTGACGTGTGAACACGGGCGTTATCTTGATGAAACAGGACTTTTCTTCTGAGCATTCCTCGACGTTTTTCTTTTATTTCCTGTCGTAAACGACGTAGTAAGGTGCAGTAGTAATCAGACTTTATATTCTGACCCCTTTCAAGATAATCAATCATAATCACACTTTTCGAGTCCCAGAATACTGAAGCCATCACCTTATTTGCCGACAAAATCGACTTAGCCTTTTTAGGGGGTGGTGAACCAGGTCTTCTCCACTGTTTTGATTGTTGTTTTGTTTCCGGTGTACAGTAATGAACCCATGTTTCGTCCATAGTAACAACACGATTCAAAAAATCATCTGCATCGGCTTCAAATAACTCCAAACAGTCGCGTGAAATAGTCAATCGCGTCCTTTTTTGTTCAACTGAAAGCAGTCGCGGAACCCACCTCGCAGACACCTTGTGGAAACCCAACTCGTTGACAATGATGTTTTGAGTTTGTTCATAAGAGATGCCTATAATCTCAGCTATCTCTCTAATTTTTAATCTGCGGTCTCCCATTATTAAATCAAGTACTTTTTTAATATTTTCGTCAGTAGTTGACGTCGAAGGCCTTCCAGAGCGGGGTTCATCTTTCACACTCTCTCTACCACGCTTAAATTCTGCTATCCATTTTTTGACAGATGAATATGACAGAGCACAATCGCCTAATGTACTGACCATGTCATCATGGATGGCGTTTGATGATAGCCCCTTCTTATGGAGGTACTTAATGACGGCACACTGCTCGATTTGCTCCATTCGCGGAAATTATGTCCGATTACTTTGTTAATAAATTTATAAAATCACAACTAATTATCGCACACGTTTCGAACTTCACACAATGAACTAGTCTGAACTGTACTACTAAATACTACTAACTAACTAAATAATGTGGATAGATTTGATTTTTAGAATTGAATGGATCTGTGTTAGGCAGAGTACTTTTCAATCCACCCTCGTATAAATAAATAAATAGTTTTATTTTTCAATATGGTATACTATGAAACAATTACGTTCCGGCAATAAGCACAACCTTAAATTACATATTCGACAAAAAATAAATCAGTCAGTCCTTTTGTGCAATACATTAACCTTCCTCTGCTGGTTATTATAGTTTTATAATGGAGCAACTTGATCATATCAAACAGCATCTGGTGATCTTTCAGCTGCTGGCTTCTATATAGTGATGGTTGATTTCATGCCAGGTCTGCTGATATCGCTCATATCAGTTCTTTAATAACTTCGTAAGTTTTAAAAAATTTCCATCCTAGAGTTTTTAGTGAATTGCGTTTTTTGATATCCATTCTGGCTTTTCTTTCACGGCGATATAGAAGCGAGGAATTGTTTATAAGTGTCCAATAATAAATAAAATAAGTAAATACCAACGATGGCCTCGGAATAGCGTGCGATATAGAGCGACCAACATGTCGGCGATATCAACACTGCCCCTGTTAGTGCTATATTCTTTTATTAAATTGGGGCAAGTCACTGGCACTTTTCTACCTTCTTATTTCTTGTAACGAACTACAGTCTGGGTAGAATACGCATCCACAAAAGTACTTGCAGCAATAACACATTTGACAACTGCAATCTTGTTTTTATTGCATACGACTTGTGCATGAGATCCTCTACCTTTTTTTTAGATTTTTATCCGTGGGTAGTTTTTTCTCCGCTTCTCGGAGACCGTTTGCTCGGACTGTACCCGTTGCGAAAATGCCGCCTTCATTGCGTGAATATTGTATCACCTCAATAGATGTTATAAAGTTATCCAAGCACAGGATTTTACTCTGCACTTTACTATGACAAGTCTAACCTCTTTGAACAAGTAGCTGTTGAAGGAGAAGGTGCAAACAGTGGCGACGGCGGCGGTAACTGATTACGCCGCTTGAAGTTACTAACTCTTGGTGAAGGTACTTGTGAGGGAGTATCCAGTATAGATGGTGACAATGGTAATGGTACCGGACACCAAGAACTAGTCTTAGTTGCTGATGGATTGGGCGAAAAAATTGATGGCCAACAAGGATTGATAGATGGCAACGACATTGATGACAGTTGATGTAGTACTAAAGGTGTTGAAGCAACCATCTGATTTACCTCAATATCGTCATCTCGGAGAAGATTTAGGTTTTCTATTGAATATGGGAGTGATGGAGGTGGTGAACTGCTGTCGGAGTGTGTAGGGTGGGTGTAGTACTGAAATTCATCCTCAGATTAGTCACTTTCGTTCGAATCCGATTTTGCTCTCGTCTTCAGAACAAGAGCTACGAGTTGCCGAGCTCTTCTTTGTTGTTGAATAATAAGGTCAGGAAGCACGTGCGGAAGGAAACAAGAAATAATTGTACTAAGATTGTCATCTTGACCACATTTTGGCCACAACAGAAAATCTAATCGTAGCCTAGTTATAGCCGCGGTCTTGGAATCAACCCCGAGCAGTATCTATACAAATTTGGCTATGTCACATATTTGATACGTAGTAAAAAATATCTAGAATACTCGGCATCTGGCAATGCATCATATTTGCTACACTCGAAAAACACAAAAGATAACATGCACTTACAATTGATATAAATACTGGAAAATAACGCGTATGACTAGAATATATAATAAGCTATGCGAATTAGACTACTTTTAAAAACAATTTGAACAAAATTTTATAAATAATGATTATTCTAACGATGCGATGCTTAGACGCATTCGATCGGTCCGGCATCTTGCGTTCTACAACTCTTTTTGGTATTGCAAACACTTAAATAGTATTTTTGATAGAAATATTATGAATATTTTCTGATATATTAAACAATAAAAGTTTAAAAAATTCATTTGAGAGGGTCTCGGGATTTTCTAAAAGTTGAACATATCAAATTGTACACAGTACCGAGAATAGGGTTAAGCATCCGTCTTATGCAATCATAAAGATGTCATTTACTACCATAATAGTGATTCACCTCTAACAGCTCCAATAAAAAAAATCTTACTAAACTTGGGATGAGAAGTCTTACTGTAATCATCCAAATTTGCACTAAGTATCATCTCTTTAGTTCATTGTCAGTTTGATTGGCAAGACTACGGTTCTTACTGTGGCACGACTTGAAGGCGGATTCAAATAGATCTCGACAAGATACTCATAAATTTCTTTGTTACACAGGAATATTGACCCAAAGTTATCATCTGCAACGGCTTAGATGCTGCGGGAAGTGTAGCCTCTCACCCTTGCGTAGCAAATCATAAGCTCACCTCCACAGCTTTAGCTTATTGGTCCAGCCTCAGCCACTACGATTTACACCGGTGCCTGCTATTTGCTACAGCGGGCGGGGGCTGCTCTCCCTCTGCTCCTAGGACTTTACAAAAACACTCTAGGGGTAGGGCAAACAAAACTATGTGGAGTTGGGTTGATTTGGTTTTAGTATTTGATTTTTAAGTATGGATATCTCAGGATATATCGAAAAATGTTATTCTCTCTTTTCGGTGTATCTCATCAAGATCTATGCGAATCAGCTGTCAAATTGTGGTGCCGTAGGAACTATAGAAGTCCTGTTTGATTTATAAAATTAATTGAATAAGTATCAACAGCAATACAAAAGTTCTTTTATGTAATTTTGATACCCCTGAGATGGTGCCTTAAACAGTTACTATATCACTGTCAGAATAATATCTACACAATTATTACATTAAAACATCAGTTTAAAAGATGATGATTACTAAAACTTTTACTTTGATAATAGGAAAGAAAAAAATTTACTTTATTTATTTACACTGAAGTTATTGATATTTATGATAAACTGTGTAATAATTTATTTAAAAAATATATACACTTTTATTATTGTAATATTTAATACTATAATTGTTTTGCCAACACTCCTTATGTTAACTTTAAAGAAAGGTGAATGAACTCAGCATCCTTTCAGATTGATAGCTATTTTATCAATTATGAACTCAATTGAGTTTATTTCAATTGTGTGTTCCAACAACCAATTTCATTTCAATGCTTTGTTAAATCACTTTGCAAATGAATATATATATTTTTTATATTGATATTACAAACTATTTTGTATGGACGTCTTTATGGAATATATATATATAGTATATAGTAATTAATAAAAGTACCATAAATTTTATGATACCTTGAATCTTCGCTATAAAGTAGGGGGTAAACAAAGTTACGTCAGTTACCTGTATTAGACAGTAGTTTCTGTCTGCGAAACTGTTCAAGAGCCAAACTTTCTAAACTCAAAGCCTGCGCCTTTTCGAGGTCCGCTTGAAACTGTAGATCGTAGTCGGACATTGTGTTGTCTCCACTTAACATCTACAATAGTATTTTCAGACTAAGAGCATGGGAATGATAAAATTTACACTGTCTTTCTAAACACATTTTACGGCACAATTGTAGCGACGTAAACTAAATAAACAAACTTTTCACGTATCAGGACAATCATTTAGGTGATTATCTTACCAAATGTTTGCGATAACGCTTTATTTATTTTAATTTTTCAAGACATTTGATACAATACAATTCGTTAGATTAAATCACAGAGTAATTAATATTATAAAATAAAATATAAATTAAAATCTATCTGCAGTGATCTGTAGTGACGTATTTCTTTTTAATTACTTGCTTTACGGCTCTGGGATCTAGCCCTTCTGAGCCTGAAGTTAAAATATATTATAATTATACTTCATGGTACAATGCTTCACAATATGTTGATGCGTCACATTGTGCAGCCCTTGGGAGATTTTGACGGCAACTTGAGCCAGCAGACAGCTGATGGTTGGCGATGGTATCTCAAGGCGTCTAAGCAGACAGACACCTTATTTTGAGAATCACATCACCATCAGACACTTGTTTCACAGTTTCCACTAATAGATCACATGCGCAGATACTTAATACACAAAATCGCACCACTTTTACATATCAAAGTCCACTTCAAACCATTATTTAAACAGTAATACAGGAGCAACAAACCGCCGCTGGTCAAGTTCCCGCCAAAACTCCTGTAGTGACATAGTATTGTTGGTTAGCATAGATAAATATATACCTATGTAGCAAGCTATTGGTTAGTGCCACAGACTCACAGATTAATGATGGTTACGCATGTTAGTACCAGCATTGCCAACACCAATTTGTAAAGTTTCCCGAATATCTAAATCCCATCCCAATTCGGGAACGAAAAATCAACAGATTTGCCACAAATTCCCCTCAATTTTATTTTAAGAAATTAAACGTTCCAAGTAATTTTATAAGATTTGTTTTTTATGTTACATCTTTTTTTATTTTTAACGATAATGCTTTTTCAAACTTTCCATATTTTTGTAACAAGCATTTTACTCAATGAAGTGTTTTTAATTCCTTCCCTTGTTGTCATTGAAAAGTACCACAGAATCTGAATTTATATAAATGCGGTTCTCTATTTAAAAAAAAATAAAGAAATGAAATAGCATTAAATGATAGACAAAACTTGCGGAAACAAATCCGAAAATTAAATGTGGTGCAATGAAGATAAAAAAGGGAGTCATTCGATATCCATAAGTAAGCTAACAAAAATGTTAATTTCTTGAAAAAGGTTTCTGACAAAGCCCGTGCAATCGATTTTCAAAATCTCTACATTTTCCCCACATAATGCCAATCCCCAAAAATCCCCAATGAACTTGAGATTCCCCGCAGATTGGGGTATTCCCCAAATGTTGGCAATGCTAGTTAGTGCTGTCAATTTATTTTAAGATTTTTGGCTTTGATGTTTGTCCTTAAAGCCATATCTACGTTTCATTCTGGATTTAAAAATCTTCAGAGTTTTGGCGGGAACTTGACCGGCGTCGGTTTGCTGCTCCTGTATTATTGTTTAAATAATGGTTTGAAGTGGACTTTGATATGTAAAAGTGGTGCGATTTTGTGTATTAAGTGTCCGCGCATGTGAACTATTAGTGGAAACTGCGAAACACGTGCTCTGAAGGTGATGTGATTCTCAAAATAAGGTGTCTGTCTGCTTAGGCGCCTTGAGATACCATCGCCAACTGTCAGCTGTCTGCTGGCTCAAGTTGCCGTCAAAATCTCCCAAGGGCTGCACAATGTGACGCATCAACACATTATACTATGAAGGATAATTATTATAATATATTGTAACTTCAGGCTCGGAAGGGCTAGATCCCAGAGCCGTAAAGCCAGTTATTAAGAAGAAGATTAAAAATCTTCTTTATCATATGTCGATACGTCACATTGAAAAGTTTTTGGAGGGTTTTGACAACAGCTAAACCCAACGCATAGTCGATGATGACAGTATCTCAAGTTCATATGGTGTCTATGCGAACAAAATAACTTGAGTTTTATATTAAAATCAGCACTTGTTTCGTCGTTTCGTCGTTGTGAAGATACCTTTTTAAGTAAGGTTTTCTTCTCAAACTGTAAAAAAATCTCAGGATTTTTAAATGGAAATCAGGCCTCTTCTCCGAATTTTTAATTTTTTCATCTGGTAACCCTTTTCGGGATCAGTATCTGTCCAAGGGGAAGTTTTTGCGGGAATTTGAGCGTCGGCGATTGTTGCTCCTATTTTATCGTTTATTTAATTACTTCAAGTTGGTTTTGATACATTAAAGCGATGTGATTTTATGTATTAAGTTGGGGAGAGGCACAGATGGGAGAGAGCAGTGTCACCGCCGCGTTGAATCATTTATTTTAATTCTGCAACACCAAAGACAGTTTATTCCGTGAATCTCTTTTTTAACATAATGTTAATAAAGTATAAACAGGCTACTCGTACAAAAAAAAAATAAAAAAAAATTATGTAAGTACTCAGTGTCTCCGTTTTTATTTCACTAACAAATATTCCAAAATATTTTTTAAACATATTAATTAAAATTACTTTTTGGCCTTTTAACAGAACAATCTTATTTAACTATTTCCTACAAATTTCCTTACTTATTACGTTTATAAAAAAGTAAAAAGCAAAATAAAGTTACGTTTTTACAACACAAATCGAGCATTTATTTTCATTCTTCCACTTCGTGTTTATTATATGAGCTGAAGGTCTATCAATTAATTATAAATATTTCAGGCTTAATAGCCGTAGCTTGATCACCCGATGTGAAGAAAGAGGAACCCACATAGCTGGCCTGAGGTGAAGGACCAGCCCGAGGTGGCCACTCCGAGTGGGCTTGGCTGCGGGGAGCGAATAATGTCGGTATTGCGAGGCGCCGCTCTTTCTACCCTCCGCAACCGAATCTTGGTTGGCGGCGGAGCCATAGAGATCTGCCGCTAATTTCAGTAAGACTTCTGAATGCTCGTTTTTCCTGGTCCCATGGCCTTCGCACATCGTAAACGGGGGTGTCACACGCAAGTAATGAGCTCCTGGGTATTTTGGATTTTTTGAGTATAATAGTGGGTATTTCTAGTAAGTAATTGTCTTCAAGAATGGTTACTTGTTCTGTGAGTGACTGCGGTGTCTATAATAATCTTATCGCACATTCATAGGTATATTCTCAAGAAGTCGTCACTTCTGTGATGCGTTTAGTTTAGGTTAATATTTTTTTTTATAGGATAAGGGTGACAAACGAACACACAGTCCACCTGATGGTAAGTGGTTGCTGCGGCCCATAGAACTCTACATCTATCCTCGTTTGCGAATCAAAATGCAGATGCGTTGCCACCCGTGAGAACTAAGATGGAATGCCTCATTTCCAGTAAAAAAGGGCCTCCGGCCACCTGCACTCACCAAGCGAAACGCAGAGGTAAACCTCTACTTCACGCTGGTATTCTGTGAGGTCGTGGTACTACCCCGGTTCGAGCCGGCCCATCCGTGCGACAGCAAAAGCTGCCGCGTGACTCTACCACTGTGTAAAATATTTGTTTTAAGCTGTTTAAAATATGGAATATTTTCAATTGTTTTGTTTATTTGTATATATTGTAGTAAGAAAAAAGTCACGTTGTTGATAATTAGCATGATTTTAGTGAATACATTTTTCATCGAAATATTTTTCATGTATGCAAGGGATTGACTCAACTATATCGAAAACAGTGTCGATATTTATCTTGAATATTTGTAATTAATTGACTTTATTTTGATTTTTACTTTTTATACTGAACGTAATAATTTAAGTGAGAAAATTTGTAGGAACTAGTTAAATAAGATTTTTTTTTATAGGAGAGGGGGCAAACGAGCATGCGGCTCACCTGATGGTAAGTGACTACCGCCGCCCATGAACAACTGCAACACCAGGGGAATCGCAGATGCGTTGCCGGCCTTTTAAAAAGGAGTACGCTCTTTTCTTGAAGGTCCCTAAGTCGTATCGGTCCGGAAAAATCGCTGATGGTAATCGATTCCACAAGGAGGTCGTGCGAGGAAGAAAACATCTTCTAAATCGCACAGTGGTGGACCGCCAATCATCCAGATGGTGTGGATGGTATCGGGAGTTCTGCCGCGATGTGCGTTCGTGAAATTTGGCGGCTGGGATTAATCCAAACAATTCCTCAGAGCACTCCCCATGGTAGATGCGAAAGAAAATGCAAAGGGATGCAACATCTCTTCGCAGTGCCAATGAATCGAGCCGATCGGAAAGGGCTCGGTCGTCGACAATTCGAGCCGCTCTGCGTTGGATGCGGTCAAGTGGAAGGAGCTGGCACTGGGGAGCCCCTGCCCAGAGATGGGAACAGTATTCCATGTGAGGCCGAACTTGCGCCTTGTAAAGTAGCAGGCGGTGTGCCGGCATGAAATACTATCCCGCTCTGCTGAGCACGCCAAGCTTTTTAGAGGCCAATTTGGCCTTCCCTTCCAAGTGACCACGAAACTGCACGTCACTCGATATGTCGACTCCGAGGATACCGATACTGGCTGAGGCAAGAAGGGGAGTGCCTTGAAACTGAGGAGATACGTTTTAAGATTGTTCTGTTTAGAGGCCAAAAATTAATTTCAATTAATTTGTTTAAAAATAATATTGAAATATTCGCTGGTGAAATAAAAACGGAGTCACTGAGTACTTAATAACTATTTTAATTATAATACAAGTAGCTGTTTGTATTTTATTAACATTATGTTATGTTAAAAAAAGTATTTGATGTTTGTGTTGAATTGAAATAAGAAAGAAACGCCAGTGCAAGTGGACTTTGTCTACCGGCCGTCTCGATTGCTATAGTTGGTTTTTTATTGGTACTCCCTGAAGGTACATACACATGTGGACAACACACTGTCCATGACAGTAAATATTTTTCTCAACGCGTCGTAAATATTCGAAAATACAACTTTCTGATCTGTTTCTTGTTAAAAATTGTTTAATTTTATGGGTAGACTCACCTCTCCAGAGATTATTGCGATTTTATAC